TCAACATGCTGCTGCACAAACAGAACACTTGCCGGTCAGAGCCCGACTCCACCCGGCGCCGGCGCGCCGCCAGCCGTCCCCGCCCCGCCGGCGCCGGATACCGGTGTCAGCCGGGACACGCGGACTATCGCCGCCGGGGCGAGGGGCGGCGCCGGGCGCTCCCGTCTCCTGTCACGGTAGCGGCCCGGCGGCGGTCCGGTCAGGTGCCCGAGGCGCCGGCGTGCCGGGTCCGGTGGCGTCGCCGACGTGGTGAGCCCCCGCCGCCGCTTCGTTGGCGATCCAGATTGGCGGCAATGTTATGTGCCCACAGGGACGTATGGAGAGTGATGCATGGGGCGCTAGCCCCAGCCTTTTGAATGCTGCACGAGCAGTACACATGGCCTCGGAGAAACATTGCTTGTCTCCTTATATTTTGGAAGGGAGATATGGATTTTGCTGATTCCTGACGTGAAGGAATTATACCACTCCGTTAGAGAAGCCTGTGCTGGCCCCAGTTTATAAAGCGGGGCTGCGCGCCTCCTCCGTTGTGAAACGACTGTCATTGAGCACCTCTGCACGCTCACAGAATGATGCGATCCGGGCGTGCTTCCTCAGCCTCGAGCAGAGCGCCCCGCTTGTAACAGGCTCGCTCGGGGGCTGGACAGCCGGACCTCCTGTGACCAGACTCATCAGCCCTTGTGACGGGCCGCTGGGAGTGGCGTGACACTGCGGCCAGATGTCCGTGCGCCAGGACGTCGACTGCGACTTCGGTTACGGGAACCAGGGATCGATGCTGCCACCAAGTTTCTCGACGGCTTGTCTGACCACTAGCAACAGAGCCGCAGGTGGCATGCCGGCTTACTGTTCCGACGCATCCGCTTCCGTGCCTAATGCGGGGCTTCGACGACGCAGCCAACATTTTGTCGCAGAGAGACAACGATCGGGCACTGTCGTCATTCATTGCCGTCGGGCTTTCGTGCGGCTTCGGGAAGCTGTCGCTCCGCCTTCCGCCGGGCTGCTCAGCGCTGTTTTTCTAGCTACAGCGGCGCGCTCGGGCCGAAGCTAGGATTAGCATGCCGATCGCAGGCTCGCCTCCCTGACTGCCACGTGGCGCGCTGATTACAGCTGACGTCCCGCCCGCGCCGCCGAGGACGCTTCACAGCCTCCGCTAATGGGACGCGATCGGCGGGCGCTCGCGGTGGAACGGCCTATTCGTAGGTCCGGAGAGGAAATAGACGCGTCAGGTGTGGTGCAACTGGTGGTCCAACACCAAGTAGGAGGCGGTCGGGCTCTTTAAGGCACATTCAAGATAAGACGGTAAAGTTTGGCGCTGCGGTGCACAAATGCGTAGGTTGGATGGCGTTCAGGATCGCTGCCGCTTGGGTTTTCTTCAACTGGTGTTTAATCCGCCAAATCTACATGGCTTTGGTTGCGCAAGTCCTGCTGTGAACTGATTTCTCATTTATGTGCATGCTGACCATCGCACGAACGGTGGTCCGCGCCAACTTAGCCCTGATCGGTGGTGGGGGTTGCGGGGTTGGGGGTGGGAGGTGGAGGTGGAGGTGGAGGAGGGGATATCAACATGTCCCGCCCCTGGTTCCTTCGGATTGGAATGGACTAGAGAGACGAGCTAAACAAAGCTAAACGAGACGAGACGAGATGAGACGAGAGACATTCGATATCTCTTCCTAAGCTTAACAAGATTTACTCAGGTCATTTTTATGTCTAATGTCGGAGTCGAGCTCTTATCTGGTGTAATACTAGTTTCCCTGCTTTACCGAGTATTGTTAAAACAGTACCTCTAGCTTATCTGTTTGTGGAGCTGTTTAACTGCTTTGTTACAAGGACTGCATATACGGAACTTGCACCAACCAGGAGTGTTTGTCGCACAATCACATTGCCCATCGGCATCATCGGTTATTTGCTTGGAACGAAGCGTCTGCCCACCCGTTCGGTTCGCTCTTGACGGGCAGCAGCGGCAGATGTTGCCAGAAAATATAGGCGCCCAGTGACCACCGCAGTCGGCGCGCCCGCAAACACCAATAAACAGCAAAGTGTCAAAAGGTACTTGAACACAACCTAAATTTCAACCGCCGCTTAGATCCGTGACCCCTGTTGACTTTTCGGAGGCTACGGCACCACGTCTCCGTAAGTATGTGGCGCTGACCGAATGAGTGCATTGGGCTTGAAGTCAACAGAAAAGAAACAAGTAACCATTAGGCAGATCAGAGTGGTGTAAAGTCAGCGAGGTCACCATCCTGTTATGATCTGTTTAATTTACTGTTACCGCTTAAATCGCTTAAATGTGTGAAATGCCACTGTGGAATGAAAAGGTGAATGGGACCGACAGCTCCCGGCAGTGGTGCACAATGTGTTGATATATTAACTTTCAGGTCAATCTAGTTAGTGATCGACAATAATCTTTGCGATCCAAATTTCACTCGGAGACTTAGAAGCAGCAGTGTGTGATGATAGCCGTTTTCACGGTGGATTAATGCAGGAAAAGCTTTTAAAGGTCTAAATATGTTTGTTTTTCTGGAGTTGTATGTGCTAAACGCTCCGCCAAGGAAGCCATTGCTTTTATGCAGTTCGATTAACATGCAGTACGCAAACACATGTGTGCAAATACGAGTAAGTTTGTTAAGCTAAACGAGAACCTTTACAGCCATTTTCTCCACCCCAGGCCTTAAGTGCAGCCAAACTGTAGGGGAACACTAGGCCTGGCAATCAGCAGTATGCATCGGTGGAGGTTGATGGAAGCCGGCTGCTCCATTGTTTACATCGCTGCTGTGTGGAGCGAGGCGAGATTTGAGGATCATTTCACTCAAGGACGACTCATCTGCGATCATATTAAGGGATGCAATCCCTGCAAGCTCTGTAAGTATTGTAAGCAAACTGTAAATACCGTAAGTGGACTCCGTAAGTGCTGCATATTTAGTAAACGGAAGCTACAAGAATCAAGGATTTTGTTTTGTCGCCTCTGCGCCAGAGGTGCAGCCGAATATTTTTAATAAGCTTCGAAAAGTGTCGGTGGAAAGAGATCTGTCATCAAAGCTGTCCTTTAAGGCATAGTCTTGCTTATAGCCAGCTTGCTGTGGTTCTGTGAAATTGTGCATCTTTCCAGACATGTTCTTAAAAATCTGCGGGACTTTTTTGGCGGTAAATCGTCAAAAAAGGAGTGTGGCTAAAAAATCCGAAGTGTATTTATTTAAAGTCATAAAAGCTTGAGACGTAATCCTTCTTGAAAACGGCTAATAATTCGATAAGCAGACAAATCACGCTACTAAATGAGATGCTCGTGGAGGGAATGTCTCTTTTCTCCCTCCCTCTCCGTCTGTCTGTCTGTCTGTCTGTCTGTCTGTCTGTCTGTCTGTCTGTCTGTCTGCTTCTCTCTCTCCCTCCCTACTCTCTCCTCTCTCTCTCTCCGTCTCTGTCTCTGTCTCTGTCTCTGTCTCTGTCTCTGTCTCTGTCCCTCGCTCTCGCTCTGATTTGTAGACATTTATTTGACGACGCTGAAACATGGGCAAATCACCTGACTAAACCAGTTTGTTCTGTTGACTTGCCCTGAGAAGAATGCCAGACTGCCAGGTTCGCCCGCACGGCGCTGCATTGTCTTCGTTGCGCTCGACTGCGTAACGCCACATCAAAAGTTCGCAATGGAGCCCCGACACATGCGGCGCGTGGCCGACCTGTTTACCAGTCGTCGTTGCGTGGTGAAGCTGTTTACCAGTCGTCGTGTCCAAACCTCCGTTCCGGGGATAAGTCGAGATTTGTCCGATAGGAAGTTAAGCTACCGGCCGGTGGTTCCTCCCGGCAGCCGTCTACCACCCGCGGTGTCCAATTTGGAGGCGTCGAAGCGCAAACGACCTAAACTCGTGGAAGGCGTCACTGGCTTAAAAGCAAGTGCAGGTCTATTCGAAAGAAATTGGACGGAAACTTTAACAGCGTCGCCTCTGGACGCTTTCAAGCTTTTTGTGCACGCCCATCCATATTCGTTCCTTTCGTTCTCAATACTGTTGGACGCCGCGACTGATGCCATTGCTGCCATGACAAAAAGCCCGGCGATGGTTTTGCACGGCCTTTTAAATTTTGTAAAAAGGAAACCGTTAATGGAGGCTATGTGGGCGGCTGACGAGCTGGAAGCCAGAAGTTTAACCAGATGGATTCAATTATATCATATTGTGAGCGCGCTTTTATCGACTCATGGCGGCCCGAGGCTGGCGGTCGAGCGAGCTGGCAGCGTGTCGTCATGACCATGAACAGACCGGGACGTATGCGGGATGGCATGCTGGATCTGGTGACGTCAGTGGTGTGATGTTATCGGGCCAAATATGTGGTGAGCTGACGATAGCGCGGTCCGTGTCCAGTGACCGCACTGTACGGGCATTGTGACTCACGTCGATCATGCGGAGGCTACGACACATGACCATCTGGTTGTTTACTGCAGAGCAGCAAACCAAACAAGATACCATGGTCGTAAAGTTGTTTGAAAATCGAGCTTGGAGCTGCTGTGCTAGCCGAAAAGGTTGCGACGCGCCTCTGGTGGATCCGTGCGAACGTGCGGTTTATGTCATAATCTTCCCTGATTCTAAGCATTCAGAGTTGCCACCACAATGTAACGCCGTAAATGTGTGCCGGTTCGTCGCTTCAGTCGAGAATTAAGTTGCCGTGAGTTTATTTGTGATGTTATGTTTTGAGTACGGTCGTGTTTCCATATCAACTTTCAACCGCCCGTGTGTAACGACTGTCGCCTCGCTTCAGAATCCGATCTCTCAATTTTGTGCGACAACCTGCTTGTGCCGCGTGGGCTTTCGTCACCGAATGCTCACACGTCCCAGACATGTGCACACGATTGACACCAGCTCTGGTGTGAGCCGTGGCATGCCGGTGCGGTGGTGGCGGCGGCGGCGGCGTACGCGGGTTCGGCGCCGGCCGCCGGCCGCGCCCCCTGCCCGGCCGGCCGGCCGGCCGCGCGGCTCCGTCGCCTGGCCGCTCAGTCGGCGTGCGAACGCCGTGTCGGAAGGACTGTCGAGGGGCACGGCTGGTACCGCACGCTCACGCTCCGCCCTCGTGTGCCGCAGGCAGTGCAGAGTGACCGCCGGCTGTCGGCGACATGGCGCCCTCGTCTGGCGCCCGGCGGCGGCGCCTCCGGCTGGCGCCCCTGCTGCTGCCGGCCGCCCTGTGTCTGCTGACGTCCGGTCTGGCCGCCGCCGCCAGCGGCAGGCCGGAGCCACGGTTCAGCTTTACCAGCGCCCTCTACAACGCCTCCATCTACGAGAACAACGTGGGCAAGGAGTACGTGGTGAGCGCCGGCCCGATGGGTGTCCGGCTGCGGCCCGAGCTGGCCGGCGCCGACATCCGCTACAAGATCGTCGGCGGCGACCCGGACGGCTTCTTCAAGGCGCAGCAGCAGACGGTCGGTGACTTCTGCTTCCTGCGCGTGCGCACACGCACCGGGCACGCGGACGTGCTGAACCGCGAGCGGCAGGCCGAGTTTCGCCTGAAGGTGCGCGCGGTGGAGCGCGGCCGACGCCGCTACGGCCGGTCGCCGGCCTTCGCCGAGGTGCGCGTGCGCGTGCTGGACAGGAACGACCTGAACCCGTGGTTCGACGCGGCCGAGTACGACGTGGAGGTGGCCGAGGACCTGCCGGTGCACGGCCTGGTGACGCAGCTGCATGCCGACGACGCCGACGAGGGCATCAACGGCCAGGTGTACTACAGCCTGCTGGAGTCGGAGCCGCACTTCGCCATCGAGCCCAGCTCTGGCCGCGTGACGCTGGCGCGCCGGCTCAGCCACCGGCAACGGCCCGAGTTCCAGCTGACGGCCGTGGCTCGTGACCGCGGCCTCAACGACATGGACGTGCCGGGCCTGGCGCGGCTGCGCGTGCGCGTGCGGCCCGTCAACCTGTTTGACCCGGTGATGCACGTGACGCACCTGGCCGAGGTGGTTGAACACTCCAGCATGGACGTATACGCCATCGTGCACGTCATCGACCGCGACGAGGGCGTGCACGGCCAGGTGGCGGGCGTGCGCATCGTGGACGGCGACCCGGAGCGGCGGTTCCGCGTGCTGTCCGGCACGACCGCCGGCGAGTTCCTGGTGGGCGTGGCCGACCCGCTGGACCGCGAGAGCGCGCCCTACGGCTTCAACCTGACGCTGAACGCCACCGACCGCGGTACGCCACCGCGCTCTTCATTCCTGTCGGTGCGCGTGCGCGTGATGGACTTCAACGACCACGCGCCGGCGTTCACGCGCGAGGTGTACGACGTGACGGTGCGCGAGACGGCGCTGGCGCACACGGCCCTGGTGCGGCTGCGCGCCAGCGACTCTGACCACGGCGTCAACGCCCAGGTGCGCTACGCCATAGCGGCCGGCAACGAGGGCGGCGAGTTCGCCATCAACGCCGCCACCGGCCTGCTGTGGCTGGCGCGGCCGCTGGACGCCGAGACGAAGGCGTTCTACGCGCTGACGGTGTCGGCGCTGGACCAAGGCCACGGCGGCCGGCAGCGCCAGGGCTCAGCCCGTGTCACCGTCACCGTGCTCGATGAGAACGACAACGCGCCGCGCTTCGGCACGCCCAACACGCAGGCAGCCGTGGACGAGAACGAGCCGGCCGAGCACTACGTGACGCGCGTGACGGCCGAGGACGCCGACCAGAGCGAGAACGCCTTCCTCTCGTACTCGATCGCCAACACGGAGCCGGTGCCGTTCGTCATCAACCACTTTGACGGCACCATCACCACTTCGGAGATGCTCGACTACGAGACGCAGCGGCGCCAGTACGTGCTGCGCGTGCGCGTCTCCGATTGGGGCAAGCCGTACCGCTGGCAGACGGAGACGACGGTGACGGTGCGCCTGCGCAACGTCAACGACAACCGGCCGCAGTTCGAAAAGGTCGACTGCCACGGCCGGCTGTCGCGGCGCGCCGCCGTCGGCACCGAGATCATGGTGCTGTCAGCCATCGACTTCGACGAGGGCGCCGTGGTCAGCTACCGGCTGGTGTCGGGCAACGAGGACGGCTGCTTCCGGCTGGACGAGCGGCTGGGCTCGCTGCGGGTCAACTGCGACCTGGCTGACCTGGCCAGCGACGAGCGGCGGCTAGGCGTGATGGCCAACGACGGCCAGCACTTCTCGGACGAGACGCGGTTGCGGCTGCAGCTGGTGGGCAGCGGCGAGCGGCCGCTCGGCGGCGCCAGCGTGCGGCTTGAGTGCAAGGACACGGGCGTGGCCGGCCGCTACCGCCGGCTGCTGGCCACGGCCGAGCAGAACAACCGGCCGCGCGACCCGTTCACGGTGGTGTCGTCCAGCCGGTACGGCACCAACTACCACCGACCGCAGCTGTCTGCCGAGCCGGCCGGCGAGCTGGAGGTGAGCGAGGCGGCGCCGCTCGGCGCCCACCTCACCACCGTCATCGGCCACGACAAGGACCTCGGCTTCAACGGCCTGCTGGTGTTCGCCATCGCCGACGGCGACGACGACTCGGCGTTCAGCATCGACATGGACGGCGGTAACGTAAGCGTGGCCTGCCGGCTGGACCGCGAGCGCACCGCCCTCTACCGGCTGAACGTGACGGCGTGCGACCGCGGCCGGCCGCAGCTCTGCGCCAGCCTCATGCTCGTCGTGCACGTGCTGGATGTGAACGACAACGCGCCGCGCCTTGAGCGCTCGTCGTTCACGTTCTTCTACCCGGAGACGCGGCCGGCCGGCCAGCCGGTGGTGCGCCTGAACGCCTCGGACCCGGACGAGGGAGCCAACGGGCGCGTCTCGTTCAAGCTGTTGACGGACACGGCCGACTTCGCCGTGGACCAGCACACCGGCCTGGTGAGCCAGGTGCGTGCGCTGGACCGCGAGCGCCAGAGCAGCTACCGGCTGCGCGTGGCCGCCCGCGACGGCTCGGCCTCGCGGCCACTCGTCTCGCACGCCGTCGTGCACGTGGACGTGCTGGACGTGAACGACAACGCGCCGCGCTTCTCGCGGCCGCTGTACCAGGTGCGCGCCAGCGAGGACCTGCCGGTGGGCGCCGTGCTGGTGACGCTGGACGCCGTGGACCCGGACCGGCCGGGCGCTGCCGAGCCCGTCTCGTACCAGGTGACGGCCGGCGGCCACGGCCGGTTCGGTGTGGACCGCAGGTCTGGTGCCGTCCGCCTGCTGGAGCCGCTCGACTTCGAGCAGCGCCAGATCTACAACGTGACGGTGGAGGCGCGCGACGACGGCTCGCCGCCGCTATCGGCTGTCGCCTACCTGGTCGTCCAGGTGGTGGATGTCAACGAGAACTACTTTGCGCCGTCGTTCGGCGGCGCCGTGGCGGTGCGCGGCTCTGTGCTGGAGGGCCGGCCGTCGGGCACGTTCGTGCTGGCCGTGCGCGCCACCGACGCCGACCCGGCCGGCCCCAACTCCGACCTGACCTACTCGATCCGCGGCGGCAGCGGCGTCGGACACTTCTCCATCAACGAAACAGGTGAGCGGCGGGCAGCAATGGACACCGCTCTGTGGGCGAAGCATGCCCTGTGTTGGTAAGCAGATCATAGCGGTTCATGGATTATCACTGGCTTCCACTAAGATATGCCAGCGATTGAACGGAGACAAACACCGCAACGGGAAGTGAATTGAAAAGGGAGGCAGTTGAATGGGTTTTCATCAATACCATGACAGATGAATCTGACCAGATTCTTGCTTGGCTCCGGTGTAGTCCATAAATGATGCCGGCTATGTTCTCAGTCATACAGCTCACATGTGTACCGAACGACGTAGTGCTATGCCGCTCTTATCGAAATAAAGGTCCCAATAGGCGTCAGTGAAACCCATAAAACGTGCTATCTTCCAAACTGTCTTAACGGGAGTTGACTCCATCGGGTCTATTCCTAACTCGGCCCGTATTTTGGTGATTTAGATTCGGTGTGGGCTGGAACTTATTGTTCGCAGCCAGAGTCAGAGCTGGAAGGAACGCGCGAGTTGGCGCCCGAATCCACGCTGCTTCTCCTCAATCCTCACGACTTGACGGTCATTGGATACAAGAGATAACTAGATACCCTTTAAACATCCACCATGGAGCGACGCGGAGAGGGGGGGATTGAGTCCGCACTGGCCGACCTCTGAACCTGGTCAGAGGTCGGCCCGGTCAGCGCCGGCGGCTCTGATGGACGGCTGAAATGCGGCCTCAGGCGGCGTGCCGCCGTGAAACGCTACACCTCGTTGTGTTTTTGCCACCTAACTAATCCCCTGTGTCAGCGAATGCGCGGCCCTGCGCAAAAACCCAGCGGGCCTTCGAGCCCGTGTTGCGGCGAATGGCCGCGGGCGGTTTTTCGCTTTCGCAGTGCGTTCTTGCTTCTGTTCTGAACAGCGTTGCCATTTCTTGGTGCAAGCATGACAGGTCTGAATTCCTGCTAAGAATTTGTGTTTGACCGACGCTTCGTATTTTTCAAGGCCGGCTTTTCCAGCTTAGGAACATATCATGTGTCTCTTTTTCTGTTAACTTCGCTTGCGTCGGTGCAGACCTGTGCTTATGTTGCCATCTGTGCAGCACCGCCTTTGAAACGAGTGGCCTGCCTCTGCACCATTCCCTTGGTCTTTTTTTCTGATCGTGATTGTGTCGCAGGTCGTGGCAGGGGGCGTGTCGATCGTCCACACTAGCTGTTCATAACCCCGTTTGGCAGTGCGCTCACCATGTGGGGGGTTCCGCGCCTATGCCTCTATCGCGTCCTGCCGTGAAGCGGCGCCCACTGGCGACCGGTGTGCGGCGCGGCTGCCGCCGGCCGCCGCCGGACCCGAGTGTCAACTGCTACGGCCGGATATGGCCGCTCGTCCCGGGTTCGTCCACACAATATCGCGCCGTCGGCGGCCGCAGCTCACGGCCGGCTGCGGCACGCGGGAGGGCCGTTAGGCAGTCACGCCCAGAAGTGAGCGTGAGGCTGTACAGTTCAAAGCCGTTGGAAAGTTGTCGCCTATAAAATTCAGCATTTCTAACGAAGCATCGGAGCCAGTGATGTTAGATATGTTGATTGCCTTTCACAGAAGGGGGTTCACAGAAGAGTGACACGTAAAGACTTCTGACTTCTGTCACCTTTCGGATTCAGCGATGTCATAATTGCGCCGAAGTTAAAGCAAACATGGAAAAAGGGAATGCTGAATACGTAACGGAAAACATTTACCCGGCTTTTTATTTTGCGTCTCACAAGATCGGTGCTACGGCTTCTGTATTACCTCGTGCCTTCTCCGTGCCTCCCTCCATTTCTATCCCACGGACAAACGACTCCTCTCTTCTGTCTCTGTTCCACCGACAGCGGGCTCCTCTCTCCCATCTTTGTCCCACCGACAACCGGCTCCTATTTCACCGACAACCGACTCTTCTCTCCCGTCTCTGTTCCTTGGACAACCGAGTGCCGCCGCTCACAAAAAAGTCACCAGGCGGCAGAGCCGTTCTGGAGTTGCCAACGAATGGTCGTCAGACATCCGCGCTCCAGAGAAGTGACATCCGGTGCCGTGACCGGTCATTTCTCTGGCAGATGACCTGCCGTGACCTGGCCGAACGGCGTCGATGCCGCTCCGGTCCTCTGACCCGGCGGACGCAGGGTGCCGGGCCGAGACCGACGCCGAGGCCACGCCGCTTGCGCGTCATCTCCCGGTCCCGTGGTCACATAGATCGGTCAATTGTCGGCACGTTTGGAGGCTGTACTGGGCGCCAGGAGATGTCAGCAGGCCTAATGTTTGCGGTCATGGATGTCACTAGCTGATATTAGCAGTTGCCCTCTTGCCTTTCTGGTGACCGTAAGCTGCGTCTCTCCGATGCATTCCCATTCGACAGTCCTTGGCCGTGTTGTGGAGTGGGCCCTGTTTTAGGCGTAAATTTACCCACACAGTTGAATCTTCATCACGTCAGGGATCGTTTTCAGTCGAAGATATTGTCGAATGGCGCCACCTCTTGCTGACCTGACCTGTCGTCACGTCGCCATTAATTACCGGGTGGGACACATCCGGGCCCCTCAAAGATGTGCGTATTGTCAGAGCGACTCGCGTATCTGCATAGGCTTGTGCTCATTGTGGATGAGGGCTGTGCGATCTCTGAGGAGGAGAGCTTTGTGGCAATTGCGCAGGCGTGTTTTGTCTCGTTTAGCGGGCGTTATCCACACGGCTTATGCACCTGAGGGTCATCAACGAAACCATTTTAAGTGGCCTCTGGGTGCGCCCCACGCACCGTACCTGTTCTGACTCCCTTTGCGACATTTGAGTAAATATTGCCGGATCTATCGGCCGTTTCTCTGACGTCTTCGGCCGCGACTCGCGTCGCGTCCGTGCGCCATCGCCCTTCTACCCGATCGGACCGCGGTAACAGCGTCCGGTCCGCCCGGGCCGGTAACAAGACGTCTGCCGTGGCCGCCGGTGCCGGCGCGCCCTGCGTGGTGCCGGCGCCGGCGGGGAGGGCCGCCGCGCGGAGCCGGGCCCGGCGGTGACTCAGCAGCTGAGTGGCTGACTGGCCTGACGGCACCGGACCGGCACCGCCGCTGCCGGCTGGCGCCTCGCGCCTCTGTCCAAGCTAATGGACGGCCACTTTGCGCGCGACGGGGGCATTCATTGCAAGCGTCCTGTTCACTTGGCGCGCTTTTTCCCGTGCCGTGACACGTGCTGGCGGACGCCTCTTCGATCCCCGCTCGCTACCGCTGGCGCGCTTTTTGGCCCGCGAGGCGCGGGCGCCCATCTAGCGGCATAAGTTATTCAGAGCTGTTGTGCGCTGGGGGGCTCGGCGCGCGCGGATGCACCGGGCGAGTTCACGTGTGAGCTGCATCTCGTGCTAATGATGGAGCAAGCGTGGGGCTCGGACTCTAAGCCGTACAGCTCATTTCCCAGAAGAAGTGTCCCGAGGGCGGGCAGCGCTGTTTCTAAGTGTCATCGACACGGCCGCTTCAAAGCTGCACCGGCGAAGCGGAGAGAGCCGGCTGAGACATGCTAGCCGGTGGCCAGGCCGCACGCGTCTGCCGCTTGTCTCCGCTCCAGCGAAGGGCCGGGCGCGGGGGTTGGAGCTGCCGTCTCGGTGGGTGGGGCACGGCCGTTCCTCTGAGCGGTGGTGGTGGCCTAGCCAGTGCGGTGAGGGAGCGTGTGCGGGCCGGCGTGGCCGGCGCGGCCGGCGCGCCGCGGTGACTGGGCGGATCCCGGCGTCTGCACGCGGCCGCTGATGGATCGGGCACGCGTGCGCCGCTGCTGCTGCAGGCGGCCTGGGAGGGCCGCCCGACCGGTGGCGGCCGCGGCAGGGCGGCCCAGCTGGTCCAGCCGTAACGCCGGCCATTGCCGCACATATCGCGTGTTGGAGATTGCGCCCCGTTTTGTGGTGTTGCATTGGAGCCGTTGCCGGTGTTGTGTTGTTGAGGCTAGACAATGTAGTAACGTGCGATGTTGCGTTGTAGGCCGAAGCTGGGCGCATGTGTTGCTGGTGTTAGAGTTGAACATGAAGATGGTGCCGCAGACTAGAGGCTACGACCCGCGTGCAACAGCACGCTGAGCGATCGCAGCGGCGTTTTAGAGGCCTGGGCCGATATCGTGATAAGCCATGGGAGGCCGGAAGTCTTGACAAATGATCGCATGATTGTGAGGCCCCTTTGCGCGCATTGGCCAGTGACTGGGCTCGTAAAATGCGGTTTGTTGACGTTTGGGTGCGGCATGTGTTGATAGTGGCTGAGTCCGGCGAAGGACGCTGCTCCGCTGCACCGGAAAACAGCAGCGTCACGTCTGTTTCTCTCCCGACAGGCATCTACACGAGGGACGTGCTGGACCGGGAGACCCAGTCCAGCTACTGGCTGACCGTGTACGCCAAGGACTCCGGCGCCGTCCCGCTGTCGGCGCGACTGGAGGTGCGTGGACCGTCTGACCTCACGTGCCGTCTGCTCTTACGGACGGCTGCCATTGGGCTTCTGAGGCGGGGGCTGCTCCGCCCGCAGTATCTGTACGGTACTGTAGTGTGTAATGACGTCAAAACCAGCCCATTACCCTGCGGGACTGACATTGTCCCCAGCACCCATCAGAGCCCACGCAATCTCCGACTGGAGATGCGTGGACCGTCCAACCTCATGTGCCGAGTGCTCTTGTGAACGGCTGCCATGGGGCTTCTGAAACAGGGATTGCTCCGCCCGCAGTATCTGTGCGGCACTGTAGTGTGTAATGACGGAAAAACCAGCCCATTACCCTGCGGAGCCCGCATTGTCCCCAGCACCCATCAGAGCCCACGCAATCTCCGTTGTTATCAGCTTGGTGGTTGGTTTAACCGTCTACCTTTGGCCTCTGCCGTCGGCGGTGGCCGGCCGGCGGGCTATTTAACGCGTGAACGCAGTTGGTGGAGATTATAATGGCCGGGTGCGGGTCCGCGTTATGAGAAAAGTTTGTAATGGCGGCCCAGCTCGGGTCGGCGGTCTCCGTGGCTGGGATCTTGTCAACTCCGGCTCCGTTTGACACGGCTGCTCATGACACGGCTGCTCGTACGGGACAGGTCTGCACAGAGGTCAAACGGTGGAAAAGCCCAGCTGGAGCTATAAGCGGCTGCTGTTTTGTGTGCGTGCTTGTCTATCATGGAGGCGCGGTAGAGTTTGGACTGCCTGCCCTGCCAGCGCAAGTCCCATGTCTGCATATGAGTGCACATAGTGGAATGGACTGACAGCTACCTGCCGGCACAAGTGTTCTGTGTTTGTGCAGGTCTACATAGAGGTTGGGGACGGGAACGACAGCTACCTGCTGGCACAAGTGTTTTGTGTTTGTGCATGTCTACATAGAGGTTGAGGGTGAGAACGACAGCTACCTGCTGACTCGAGTGTTTTGTGTTCGTGCAGTTCTATAAAGAGGTTGAGGACGAGAACGACAGCTACCTGCTGGCAGAAGTGTTTTGTATTTGTGCAGGTCTACACGGAGGTTGAGGACGAGAACGACAACTACCTGCTGGCACAAGTGTTCCGTGTTTGTGCAGGTGTGCATAGAGGCTGAGGACGAGAACGACAGCTACCATCTGACTCGAGTGTTCTGTGTTTGTTCAGGTCTACATAGAGGTGGAGGACGAGAACGACAACTACCCGCTGACGTCTGAGCCGGTGTACCGGGCCGAGGTGTTGGAGAACTCCGCCCCGGGCACGCGGGTCACCAGGGTCACGGCCTCAGACCGGGACGGGGCCGGACCACTGCGCTACCGCATAGCCGGCGGTAACCCGCAGAGTCTCTTCAGCATGGACCCGGACACAGGTGAGCACACTGTAGCCGGACCCGGGCACAGGTGAGCACACTGAAGCCCGACCCGGACACAGGTGAGCACACCGCGGCTGGGCCAGGACACAGCTGAGCATACTGAGCCGGACCCTGGCACAGGTGAGCATGCTGCAGCCGGACCCGGACACAGGTGAGCACACTTTAGCTGGGCCAGTACACAGGTGAGCACACCGCAGCTGGACTCTCGTGCAAGTTGAGACGGTGCCACTACAGTGGGCCTGAACGCAAGTGGGTGGTCTACACTGAACCCAGATTCAGCTGAGGGCGCTTCTTGAAGTCTGACGGGGTGGGAACACTACCAGGCTCCGAGAAACGGGAATATTCCAGACAGAAAGCACGTACAGGATTCGTCTGGTTGGGTGTGGGTTGGTTCAGCTCTGTTCTATTTTGGCCAGTAATGACCATTCAGGGCTATGAGATTAAGGAGAGCGGTAAGTGATGGTACAATACCGCGACTGCCGTGGGAGTCCTTCGCCAGCTGGCGTCCTCCGCGCAGGAACCCTGCTCTGGTCTTGTTGACGGTCGGACTCCCGACGGGTCGTCTGTGGGGCCGGTGCTCGATCATATGATTCATGAAGAGCAAGCAATGGGTATTTTTGCAAGCTTGTTTGTGAAAGTGGTGCTGGACGGAGAGTGCCCCGTATACTGGAAGGCACGCTAAAACGAATCATAGCACTGGGAACAAAGCCGAAAACAGCCCTGCCAGAATCGGCTTCAGTCTATTGAATTGGATAAAACGGATCATGAAGGGCCTATTGTGAAAGGCGGCAGTCGAATCGCGCTGGAAATTCCAGTTGAGCTCATACCATCGGCAGCTCGTTGACCGTTACTCGTGCGATGCTGGCGGGCATGCCTGGGCGTTTGAAAGGCGATTGTTGCGACTTTTTCTTGAGCGTTGTGCACAGCGCTATTGAAAGGCTGCTCGTCATGTTCGCTTATGCACGTTGAGCCGAGCAGACCGGGGGCAGATAACACGGCACGCGGTGGATGTGAGGGAGGCCGCCTCACGCGGCAGGCCTACCCACTGCGTGCACGTCGCATTCTGTGGAGGCTCATACGTGCTGGGCGGGGTTGACAGCTGGATTGCTGCATGCGTTGACAGATTGGGACGGACGAGGTTCGAGGCCGATCTGCACCTCAGAGCCCCGCCTGTCACAGCGTCGAAGTCCAGCGGCCGTATCTGCTGCAGCTGGCGCGAATCGTCCGTCTGTGCCGGCGGCTGGCGCGGCGCTGTTCTGTCTCCCCGAGCGCCGGTCGCCTGAGCGCGGACGGTCTGACCCGCGCCCCTCCTGCCCCCAGGTGTGATCACCACCACCGAGCGCGTGCTGGACCGTGAGACCCGCGACGCCTTCACGCTCGAGGTGGGTGCGGCCCGCCTGCTTCGCTGCAGTGACGGGGCGGGTGGTGGTCAGAGCGAGGCGTACGGTTTTCAGAGCGAGGCGTGCGGCGTCCAGAGCGAGATGTGCGGTGTCCAAAGCACGGCGTGTGGTGTTTAGAGCGAGGCATGTGGTGTCCAGAGCGAGTCGTGTTGTATCCAGAGCGAGATGTGCGGTGTCCAGAGCAAGGTGTGTAGTGTCCAGAGCGAGGCGTGTGGTATTCAGAGCGAAGTGTGTGGTGTCCAGAGCGAGGCGTGTAGTGTCCAGAGCGTGCTTACGGTGTCCAGGACGAGATGTGCGGTGTCCAGAGCAAGGCGTGTGGTGTCCAGAGCGAGGAATGTGGTGTTCAGAGCGAGGTGTGTCATGTTCAGAGCGAGGTATGTGGTGTCCAGAGCGAGGCGTGAGGTGCCCGGAGCGAAGCGTGTAGTGTCCAGAGCGAGGCTTGCGGTGTCCAAAGCGTACACCCCCCGGCGCGAGGCCGCTTTGGCCCGCCTGGCTGGTGGGCCAGCCACGTGTGGGCACTGGCCGCCCACCCACCCTCGGCTTGAACCTCGGCGCGCACAGGCCATGTGGTGAATTAAACCCCGGCGGCGACGCGGGTCTGCCGGGCCGATCGGTGGATCCGGTCCCGGCCGGACGCGCGCCGTTTCCCGGCCTCGGTCACGAATTGCTCGGCGCCTCATCGGCCGATCGTCGTTGGCCGGGAGCGGTCGGCGCGCGGCAGTAAGCCGCTGTTGACTCGGTGACGTCAACGGCTGGGGCGCCGGCGTCGGCCGGCGCGGCGCCGCTGACCGTGACCCCGGCCGGCGGCGTCCCCGGGCTGGGGGCGAGAGGCGCGGCCGGACTCTGCGCCCGGCCCCGGCCCCGGCCCTGTCCCCGGCTGCGGTCCGCTCCGCTCCCACGGAGCTATCGCGCTGGCGGGCTGCTGCGTCAGGCTCGGACAGGTCCGGCTATGCAGCCCTGACCTGGAGACGCCGGCTCGGGAGCGCCATTCAACAGTGGCCGTCAGCAGGGGGCTCAGCTGCGCGGAAGAGCTGGGCGGTCGGGTGACTGTAGCTCGCTGATGGTAGATGAGGGCAGGTCTAACCCACAGACAGGTACGCGGACATGGGCGGCACTTTGTCATGGTTTACAGGGATGCAAACCAACCCGTCAAATGGGATGACGGGGAAGGGCAGTGTCAACATGCAGCTGCAACGAAAATGTCTGTTGGCAGCTTATGCTTTGTTCTGGTGGACCAAACGGCTCGATACCGTTACGGATTTGCGTGCGATAGCCAGTTTTGGCAGGACTGGTCTGCCTGGGCTTCACGTATGGGCAGTGCGCGGCCGCGGAGGCCGGAGCTCGAGCCGAGTCGTGATCGTCCCGAGACTACTCCCGGGCGATGGAACCTGTGCGGCGGCGAGAGATTGCCAGGCCGGTGCGGCGGCTCGTGGCTGAGGCAGGCGCTGCCCCAGGTCGATGCGGCGGCTTGTGGCTGAGGCAGGTGCCGCCCCAGGCCGGTGCGGCGGCTCGTGGCTGAGGCAGGCGCTGCCCCAGGTCGATGCGGCGGCTCGTGGCTGAGGCAGGTGCCGCCGCAGGCCGGTGCGACGGCTTGTGGCTGAGGCAGGTGCCGCACCAGGTCGGTGCGGCGGCTCGTGGATGAGACAGGTGCCGCCCCAGGCCGGTGCGGCGGCTTGTGGCAGAGGTAGGTGCCGCCCCAGGCCGGTGCGGCGGCTCATGGCTGAGACAGGTGCCGCCCCAGGGCGGTGCGGCGGCCCGCACACCGGCGACGCGCCGCTGCCGGCGCCGCCCAATCAGGCTCCGTTGCATGGCCGCCGCCACCGTTTTCGGCTCAATGGGCCGCGAAATGGGGAAGGCCCGCCCCAATAGAGCCGCGGTCGACCGTCTGCCGGCGCCGGATGATCACCGGGTGGCGGCTGATGGTGGCGACGCGGTCAGGGGGGCCGGCGGGGCTCGACGGATCGGCGTCATTTATTTGTGATGATTGGATTCACTAGAAGGTAGTCTCTATTTTTTTGTGATTTTATTGATATAATCGCGTTTTTGTGGACTATTGAATCGTCTGATCTGGTGACTTTTTCGCTTAATTTTCAGCAATCGAATGCTCGATTATCGTGGCATGTTTATGAGGCCGACTCAGGTTTTTGTTACCTTCGGAATGCGAGCTGATCAAGAAGGCACTAGCCCACGGCAAAGCCAATACATATATTTTGTTTTTCTACAGTATTTTAGCTTCCGCAGAAAAAGTAACTGATGCCATTTTTATATCATACTAATGCATAAACTGCAGTAGGACAAGTGAACGATTCTATGAAAAAAGCTCATTGGCTCAGTTAATACTATAGAGCGATTTGGTTTTACTATGCCAGTGAAGGACTGCCAGCATGAGAGGCTCAGCTCAGGTCGTCGCCCAAACATTACTGGCGTGAGGGCTATGCCACCCGTCAACGGTGCAGCGGGCCGTCCGTGGTCGATACGACCGTCTCCAGCCGACCGACAGGCCCTGTAGGGCGCACCGTCTCAGGCCCCGCCCGATGGCCACTACTGGGAAGCGCAACAGCCAGTCAGCTGACGCCGCCGGCCGACCGCGGCGGGCACCGCACCTCGCCCCCGATCAAGGCCGTTCACGTGCTGCCGGACCGAACATGTCATCGAGCGCGGCCGGCGCGTTTTATGGTGCCGTCGGTCCGGCCGGCTCACCGTCCCACGTGTGGACGGCTGTCAGGTGCGCTCCATCTGTGTCAGCCCGCTGTCTGGGCGCCTGGTGCTACGGGACAGGTTTATTTCGGCGCAGGGATTTACGGTGCTCGAGAAAGCTATACACCACGCGGAATGTTTCTTTCGCTGTGACGATGGTTTTTTTCTCGACTGTTTGCGTCCGGCGTTGTGGTGGTTGCGTAATGCCCTCAGATTGGCCAGCTTGCTGGCTGTATTCCTACGGATAGAGGTCCTCTCCCAATTTGGCGATGCTGTTCGTACATGTTGTGGGTAACATGCCGGCTCGTTGTGTGGCATGTTTGGAAATTTAAACACACCTTTTCCCTTTCAACCCCGGGATCAAGCGTTTAAAAAAGCGGGTAGTTCGATGCTAATGGAATTGTGGGTACGATTTGCCCCTGTGAATCAGCCGGTGTGGTGGCTTCTGGCTGATCCCAAGCTTTGAAAGGAAACGTTTTACTTCTGCGTTTACAGCGCGGTGTAATGCTGCATCTGTTTCGCGCAGATAAGTCGGATATTAAGAGGGCTTGAGCCCGGATCTTCCACAGTCTTAGTCAACGGGCTTAGATCGTCTAGTGATGTTGTACTTCGGAAAGTATCGCCGGGTTTTAATCAAATGACACGAAACGGCTATTTCATCAGGCTCAATGCGACGCATAGTTGGAATGGATGTAAAATTGACATGTTAACATCAGTAAAGTAGTTTTGGATCTTGCGGCCCGTCCGATGGAAGCTGTTAGAGTGACAATGGGTCAACTCCCAGATAAATGTGAAAGTTGAATGGGACGCAGGGAACTGTGACGCATTTCTCGCTCGCATTTCACTACGTTCCTGGCATACTGGCTCTGAATGACCAAACCTTGGCATACGCGTGCCACCTAGCGATTTGCTCCAACATTCAGAAAAAAATGTGCCACATTATGGCTGCTGTTGATCTGATCAGGACTGGTTTTCCTATTTTGTACGGTTTGTTCCTCAAGCGAGCTGACATGCCTTGGTTTGCTGGCGGCCGCAGCCCGTCTGTGATTTGATCGTGCCTGAACAGTGGACGCAGGGCAGACCGGCGAGACGTCGAACAGTGATGTATTCGCGGCCGGCTGCGTTATCTGATGTGACGGCGGCGACGGCGGCAGCAGCGGCGGCGGCGGCGGCGGCGTCGGCAGCGGCGGCGGCGGCGCGGTCCGACACTATCGGGGCCGGGCGCGGGCCCAGACGTCCCCGGCTGTCAGCAGCCGGACCGCGATGGCCTGGCCGCTGCTGCCGGGTCAGAGGCGAGCCTCCGCTCATGGGCTCGGGCGCCACACGCGCCGGGCTGGCGGTGGCGAAGCAGCAGGTGTCTGAGAGGTTGGGGTGCGGTTCGGGGGGAGGGGGGCGTCATCATCGGACGCCCCGATGCCGTGGTCGGTACGCGCTGGAAAGCTGGACACGCTATCAGGCCATTTGTTCCGCGGTGCCGGTATTTAAATAAGATATCGGAAGACCGCTGCGAGATAAATGTTATGGGGGTGAGGCGGACCGTATCGCTCCACAGCTGGCCAGCTGCAGGGCGTGTGCAGGCAGGCCGGCAACGAGGGATGCTAGATCACGCCGATGCTATCCTGCGGTGTTGGGCGGGCGCTTGCATGGGCTGGCCGGCTGCAAACCCTCTCGCCACGGCGGCTCAAGTCATTAGCTGCGCTCATTCTGTGAGGCTTTGTTCGTCCTCTGTAGGCATTGCCACCGCCGCGGCGCCGGGTACATTCATTCCGCGGCGTCTCGCGGCCCATCCGACCGAAATGGTAAACGGATCCCAAACCAGTGGAGATGAATACGGACCATTCAGCGGAGCTCTCGGCCGGCCCCGGCCGAGGCGGCGCCCGCGCCGGCTAATGCACGACGGCTCGCCTTCATTTCGCCGGATCAGTTAGCGGTAGCCACGTATGTAAATCATGCGGGGTGAAAGTGTGGCGTGGAGGCTGCACCGGCTGCCGGCGCCGCACCGGCCACGGCTGCGGAGGTCCGGTCCCGTTCGCGCGGGGTCGTGTCGCGCGCACAGGGTCTGCATGTGGGCGGAGAGCCGCGTCGTCGGATGATGCATCACGTTGAACGCCGCGGCGCTACCCCGCCAGCCGCGGGTGTGATGTGCTGGCGTCTGTCCTTCGTCTTCGTCATGTTTTGAAGGTGGGAAGGACATGTTTCGAAGGACAGGATCTCGACGCAGGCTAACGCGCGCGATCACAGCCGTCGTGTGTGAGCAGAGCTCCGGACCGCAGCGACCAGCCGCCGCCTGGACACGGCGCTTCCGCACCGCGCCGCGCGTCGGTCGGCGGCCGGTGCGAGCGCCGCCGTCTGCCGGCCGCCGGTGACCCGGAACCCAGCGGCGCCAGCTCATGAGCGCTGATGAAGCCGGTCACGCCAGCTGGCCGCGACGTGCCCTGGCGGCGACATTGCACCCGGGGCCGGCGGTCACGTGCGAGCGGCACATTAGAGGCGGACGGTGTCGGATCCGGGCTGGGCGCTGCTCCTCGTGACGTGTCTCAGTGACACGCTGGTGTGGGGCTGGTCCGGGGATGACACGCCGGTGTGGGGGCTGGTCCGGGGGTGACACGCTGGTGCGGGGGCTGGTCCGGGGATGACACGCTGGTGCGGGGGGCTGGTCCGGGGGTGACACGCCGGTGCGGGGGCCGGCCCGCGGTGACATGCTGGTGCGGGGGCTGGTCCGGGGATGACACGCTGGTGCGGGGGCTGGTCCGGGGGTGACACGCCGGTGCGGGGGCCGGCCCGCGGTGACATGCTGGTGCGGGGGCTGGTCCGGGGGTGACACGCCGGTGCGGGGGCCGGCCCGCGGTGACATGCTGGTGCGGGGGCTGGTCCGGGGATGACACGCTGGTGCCGGGGCTGGTCCGGATGATACGCTGGTGCCGGGGCTGGCCCGGGGATGACACTAGTGCGGGGCTGGTTCGGCGATGACACGCTGGCGCGGGGGCTGGTCTGGGACCGGAAGGCGTTAGTTGGAGCTCGCGCCACATCGGCGCTCAGCAACCCGGCGAGGCATGAGGCACCAGCTGGTGAACCGTCGCTGGTGAATCTGCCTCCTCGCTCCGGCCGGAATCCGGTGTCTTGAGTGCTGGTGTTGGGAGAGCAAAGAATATTTACTCGATATAATTGCGTCTCGGACATTTAAGCGTATCGAGATGTTGGAAGGATTCAGAGGGCATTTCCTGTATCGCATTGTATTCAAGCTCCCTATTAAACCAGGATGAGTTTCAAAACTTACTGAAATGCGCCCTGTACATGTCTTTTATTTCGCGGCACAGTTCCTTGTTGTTCGCTTGTAGAACGCTCATTTTTTATAGATCAGGGATCTGTGAACCGTGAATAATATCCCGTGTCCATGGGCGGTTATGGTGTAATGTTCCCAATCATTTTTTTTTCAGACAGCTTTGAATACAGATAGTCCTTGTCGCGCTGCCATCCATTGTTCTCACCTTATCGTGTTTTATGAGTCAATTACAACACTCATTTTGCTTGTTATTCACCGATATCTAGAGTTGCTTGCGTCATTTGCTTGGATACTAGTCCTTGTCTGATCGCGCGATACTGCATGGTGTTGTCCTTTTTTTTCGCTGAATTATATATTTGCTGGTATTTGCAGTGGCACATACAAGTAGAATACTCAACTTGCCCCGTATTATGGAGAGTTCTTCAAAACATGGGCGCGGAGTTTGGAAACGTTCACCGCGATCCACTCTCTTCGCACATTCGTTTCGTTGCCCAGTCCGCCGGTCTCGGCGGCCGACGCCGCTGGCCGCTGTCGTGACCGAAACTACTGCGATGCTATCAGCTGATGAAGACGTGTCCTCTCCAGTTCTCGTGGAGGCGCGCGGTGAATAATGACGTTGTGATCCTTATAAGCTCTTTCTACGATGGGTGACCTAAGCCAACTGCCATGCTTTATGGTGGTAATTGCGACGGACGCTCCATTTTTCCTGTTGCGCACACTCATGAGGGATGAAGTCACCATTTCCCCACGGTTGGTGGTCGCCAGTCTGTGGTAATCACAACGATAACATGACGGGTGCTCGCTGTCTGGATCTTGTCCTACGTCATGACACATTGGATTTCGGTTGAAATGCGAGTATCCCCAAACACGTGACGCCTGTCTGATGCGGCTAATTATGATGTGGTGCTGGGTGCACGGTGTCTGACTCAGTGACCAGCTGTGTGCATGTGAACGGTGCGTTTGTCACTCTTTAGCAGCGTTCAGAACAGTCAGTCCGTTAGTTTATTTGAGCTTAACAGTGTTCGTCAGTTTAGACAGTATCGGACTGGCGAGTACCGGCCCTGACCTCCACGGCCCGGGTCACGTCCCCTCTGACACTGCCCTCTGGTCCGACAGGTGACGGTGTCGGACTGGGGAGTACCGGCCCTGACCTCCACGGCTCGGGTTATGACCCCTCTGACACTGTCCTCTGGTTCGACAGGTGACGGTGTCGGACTGGGGAGTACCGGCCCTGACCTCCACGGCTCGGGTCATGACCCCTCTGACACTGTCCTCTGGTTCGACAGGTGACGTTGTCGGACTGGGGAGTACCGGCCCTGACCTCCACGGCTCGAGTCATGACCCCTCTGACACTGTCCTCTGGTTCGACAGGTGACGGTGTCGGACTGGGGAGTACCGGCCCTGACCTCCACGGCCCAGGTCATGACCCTCTGACACTGTCCTCTGGTCCGACAGGTAATGGTGTTGACTGGGGAGTACCGACCCTGACCTCCACGGCCCAGGTCATGACCCCTCTGACACTGTCCTCTGGTCCGACAGGTGACGGTGTCGGACTGGGGAGCACCGGCCCTGACCTCCACGGCCCGGGTCATGGTCACCGTGCTAGACGAGAACGACTCACCGCCGGTGTTCTCTGAGCGGCTCTACCGGGTCCAGGTGCCGCTGGGACCGGCGCTCAGTCGACCCAACGCCTCCATCTTCCAGGTCAGGTCTCGCCCATTGATAGGTCAGGGGTGCCGCTGACGGGGGTGTGTGAGTGTGTAAGATGGGGGTGTGTGGTGTGTGAGTGTGAGACGCAGGCTTGGCACTCTACTGGCGGATCGCCGTTGCGATTTTACCGTATCAGTGAGCATTCAGTCATGGAGTGTATCCGGGGTACCGCTCATAACACTAGCGATTGCCGTAGGACCCGAATAACCCTGGACGTCACCTGACCCGGTGTTGCAATACCGCTGGGGTTTCGTGCGTGTTTCACTGTCGCTCTCTCCAGCGCAAGCCACTTGAGTAGGTTTGGTCTCTGAACCGTCGGAAAATGACTGCCAACGTGTCATGGTCAGGTTTTTGGGGCTGTGTCAGTCACCACATGGGAATGTTTTCTCGCTGTGTGATGAAGCCCGCGCACTTTTAGGGGTTTCCAGTCAGACGTTATCCTCTCCAGTGTATTGCCGCTGGAGCTCAATTAATGTATTTTGTCGTGGCTTTAATGCCTCCCTTATTGATCGGTACAAAGTTGGTGCGGAGAAACTTAATCTAGTGCTGCTGCCTCTGGAGACTTTCTAGGACATATTAGCCGTTGTCACGATGGATTAATGCACTGAAAAGTTTTAAAAAGTTTTAAAATGTTTCTGCGAAGTTTTGGTATATACTTAACTCTCTGACGAGGATTTTGATTGAGAAGGACAAGGACTGTTTCATGCAGTTCCAGTAACGTGCAATAAGTAAACCACGTGTCTCCAACTAAGAATAAGGTTGCATATTAAACGAGGCTCTTTATAGACATTTGTTTCAGTCCATGTCTTTAGTTCACCCAAATTCTAGGAAAACACAGGGGTTGGCAAGGAGCAACGTGAAATCGGTCGGGGATGTTGGCTGCTGGCTTCCCCATTAATGTTTGCATCGGTGTTGTGTGGAGCAAGGCGGGGTCTGAGGATCATTTCATTCAAGGATCGTTCATCTTGGATCATGTTAAGGTATGCAAGCCCTGTAAGTTCTGCAAGTACTATAAGCAAGCTATGTAAGCTCTGTAAGTAGCCTCTCATTACTGCATGTCTATGAACAGAGATGATGCGTTTTTTCTGGGCCAACACAAGGACTCCTTTTTTCCCCTCAACGGACCTAGCCACTTGCGAGGGGGAGTTACTTCCGGCTTAAGACCAGACAGGAATTACGTTAAACCTGCTTATGCTGTCGGGTGCAAAGCGAGGGAGAGGATATGTTGAAGTTACGTTTTGTTGATCTGGTTCATTGTTGTCCAGAAAGATCATAGCAAGCTGTAAGGGTTTGGTTTAACGCTTGGAAAAGTTTCAGTGGGAAGATATCTGACATTATAGTTGTCCATAAAAACATGATCTTACTCATAGCCAGCTAACGGCAGTTTTATCAAGTTATGTGTCTTTTCAGACAAGTTTGTACATTTCTGCGGAACATTTATTACCGAATATCGTATGTAAGAGGTGTGTAGTTAGCAAATAAACGCTGTCAAGATTTGGAAAAAGAAGTTTTTAAGGCTCTATATTGCAATGCTTCGTAAAGACGGCTATTGCAATACAATAGTCTTGGAACATGATGAATATGTAAGCTTCCGACTGGCTCTCTTTAAAGGCGAATTTAACCTGATGCGTTTTCTGCTTCCGCTGCATTTGGTTACAGTTTTAGGTACGATTTCGTGACTTCGGCATTTGCCGAGTTATTACGTAACGATTGTTATGGGCTATATCTCAAGTAGCTCCGTCACAGCTCATGCCATTGAATGTGAGCGTTTACAACTTTATTTCCAGTTATGAATGGAAAGTTTCAAAGGCTCGACGATGTCGCAGTACTCTTATTGCGGTGCTAAGTTGCTCCTTTTTGCCGCAGAGTCGCGCACAGTTTTCATTGGTACAAAAGCGTAGCGTCTGTAGCTGCTCTACATGCTCACTCTTCATTCTGGTGGTCTTAAGTTCGCTGATACAACGTAGACCTCCGTTGCGCTTCCTTGTAGCCGTAACATGCAGTTGATGGCAAGTCGCCCATGTCCCGATTTTTAAAGTGATAAACTTTTAAAGAAATGAATTTTGAACAGTATATCCAGCGTGAGTTTCTTTGCGTTGGAGTTGATTTTTGTATTTGGGTGCATCCGTTTTTCAATCGTGAAATTTCCTACAGCCTGCCCACTCAGGGGTATAATCGGTCAATTGTCTCCTTTTCGGCTAGAAACTCATTAGGCGTATGTATGGCAACCGAACGGGAGTCGCACATTTTTCCGGCTTTGTCAGTGTTATGCCATTCCGGACTGACTGGCGATATTTGTATCATTAGTACGTCCGATCGGTGAGACGATGCTGCTCGGTCCTCAGCCTTGTTTCTGCTATACTTGCTGCTTTACACAATCCAAGACGGCCAGGACTAGACACTGCAGATGACGCTAAAGGTGCGGTAAGACGTAAGACGGTAAATGTAAGGATCCAGTTTTTACTTTGTAAAATAGATTAGATTACTTTTCCCCATTCCCCGTTGATGAAGCATTTCCTGTTACCTGCTGCATTTTAGACTATTTGGGTGATATTGAATCATTTTACACCAAATGATTTTTTACTTTAATGTCGTTATTATCCTCAAAACACGCCGGAAATGAAGATAAGCATCACATGGCTTATTTTGCATAATGTGTGCGTTTCCGGCCCTTGACCAAACGAAGCCCTTCATATTCCGCGTAAAGTCAGTCCTTCCTTCCGCCGTTTTACGGCCCGAGTTTTAGTGCGGCCGTTGCGTCACCCACTGCAAACAGACCCCCCCCCCCCCCTCCTGGGGGCTCACTCGGCACGCGAAACGGTGCCAGCGTCAGCACGCAGCCGGAGGCCGGCGGCGTGGTGCAGAGAGCCGCTGTCGGTGACGAGCTGTCGCCGCGGTCCGCAGTCTTATCAGCGGGACACGCACAGCTTGCGGCACCCGGCCAGCACACACACACACCCACGCACAGGTGGTGCGCGTGTGGAGCGCGCTCGGCTGGATCTGGGTCAGCGCTGCCGGCCGCGCGGCTGGTGTTACCGACATGCCCTCGTTTGCCGCGATGAATACCTGTCAGCGCTGTGTCTGGCGCCGGTCATGTTTCAATGTCCGTGTCGCAGAAACCGCTGGCAGGAATGATCCGGGGATCTGTCATTGCAACTCGGGCAAGTCATCACAGCCGCATGTACCTGTGGTCAAAATTGGTATTATTTTGCGACTGTCCTGGTACCCGTCCCTGATCAGCTGCTGTACTGTTCCCGTCCCTGGTCAGCTGCTGTCTTGTTATCCGCTCCTGGTCGGCTGCTATGCTGTTATCAGTCCCTGGTCACCTGTTGTCCTTTTACCCTCCCCGGTCGGCTGCTGTCCTGCTGTCCGTGCCTGGTCGGTTGCTATGCTGTTATCAGTCCCTGGTCACCTGCTGTCCTGTTCCCGTCCCTGGTCAGCTGCTGTCTTGTTATCCGTTCCTGGTCAACTGGTATCCTGTTGCCCGTCGCTGGTCAGCTGCTGACTGTCCTGTTGCATGCTCCCCTCAACATGCCTTAGCAGCCTGCGGACGGCCAATATCCCGTCGCCCGTCATCCCGTCTCCATTGTCGCTGATTGGCTGCCGTGGCCGGCGTGATGTCACTGATCCGCAGCCGGCCGTCCGTCAACAAATGAGTACTGACGGCAATGGTTCTCGGCGGCGGCGGCCGCTGGCCGGCCGCCAGCACGTGCCTCCGCGGCCAGTGCGTGCGGAATATGACCTGCCGAGTTGGGGGGGGGGGGGGGGGGGGGGAGCTGCACCTGTGCGCGTTGGCACTGCCACGAGAGGAGTGACCTGAAATCCACCGACGGCAGTTATGAGAGGGGTGTCTGAAGGCGTGTGCTTAGCGAGTGGTGCCACAGAGCGGGGTGGTGAAGCATGTCGAAAAGATGAAATGTGCGAGGAATACTAGAAATGATGGTGCAGTGTGGAAATGGAACATCAACAATTGTGTGTATGTTGATGGTGAAATTCCTGTACCGCGAGGATGGAACAATTATCTTGGGTGTGTTGCGACTTTTTTAGGAAATGAGCAGCAAGCGCGTAAACGCGTAACGGGCTTTGTCAGTCTATTTTCTGGGTTGAAAGTTTTGCTCGCGCATGATTTGCCTTTCGATTGTCTTCGTTCATGCCACTTTCGTTAGAGATTTGGACTCAAATGGAATAAGACTTGAAGTCAAAGTACGTGAATCATGGCCCGTGGCCCGTGGTTCAGTCCGTCGTGGCTCGTGGTTCGTCGGAACGTGGGACATTCTGAAAATAAGGGTGAAACGTATCACGCAACCCTCCGATATTTGCATGCATGTCCGTAACTGTAGGGTGAAATTGCCTTCATTTAGGCACCCTTGCGTGGTTATTGTAACAAGCTTGTCTCACGACACCTGGGGACTTCGCTATCTGCTGGCTTCGCCCTACATTTAGGTACTAATAATATGGGCCTAAGCACCTTCCTAGGCCTACCGGGCTTTATTGGCTGTGGTATGAGGACCGTGGATGACAGTATTAACCCCTGAAAAGAAACGATGGTCGCGGTTTGACTCGTGACCGGAATTGCGTTACGTGTGACATAGCTAACTCCATGGGCCGCGCAGAGCTGAACTCAACTCTTTGGCGTTGCCGCGCCTCTCCACCAAAAACGACAGCTCCTGTACATTAGGGAAATTCCTGAATGACTGGTGGGAGACATATGCACCGTGTTCTATATATATATATATATATATATATATATATATATATATATATATATATATATATATATATATATATATATGGAAGGAATTCGTCCAATGCTGTCGTAATGCATTTTCATCAACGCTGGATCCGTTGACGAACGGCTTGGCGCAGCTGTTGGTCCCATCGCATCGCATCGCATCGCATACATTGGATCCTGTGGTAGCTCTAGCGTGGAGACAGCTGGGAAAACCAGCGCACCAACCGCGGTGGCCAATGCCCCTAGACTGCCAACGAGGACGAACCGCGAAGTCCGTTGAGCGCCAACCATGGCACGCCGTGGTCCATGAGGCGTCTGTTGCTTCAGTGTGCCGAGTCCTACTTTGACGGATGGCGGGCAGGTCTCGCCTTACCAATACCTGCGATCCCGTAGCGGTATCTTACGTGAAGTCTTTGCACAGGAGCCTGCCGAGGTGGTCCGTCAGTGCCGGTGCGTGCTGTATTGGCGAAGCAAAGCTCGCTTCTCCCCAAATCTGGCGGACTCTCGGCACACATGTCCTCGTTTTCATGCGACAGTGACTCGTCTTTACGTCGAGCCTCGGGCTGGCCAAGGGCTCGAAGTGGCTCGTCTCTGGACTCCGGTGTTGGCGGTGCCGAGGCCGGACTCCAGAGAGCGGGTCCGCGGCCGTTGGGGCAGGTTGCTAGCGGACTGCACTGGAGCTGTTGAGGTGTAGGGCACTGTTAGCGAAGTGAGGTCAAGTATTTATCAAGGTGACTTCAGCGATCTCCACCCATTGCAATCTTTACACCAACCTTCATCTGTGAAGCTCCTGAATGGTGTTCCCACCTATGTGACTCGCGCTTCCCATGCACGGTTGCTTGTATGGGATCACTGACTGACCACAGGTATCGACGTAATCTCCAGCGAAAGCGTCCACACAGCGTCCGCTTGCGCCATTTCTTACCCGCCGCTGCCCTGGCTGGCGTCCCATGCCGGTACCCCGACTATCGTCCGGTTCCCGCTGTCCTGTCGCTGATGTGTCACTCCTGCTGCCCTGGCTGGTTGTCACATGCGGTCACCCTGACTACCGTCCGGTCCCGCTGTCCTGTCGCTGATGCGTCACTCTTGGTGCCCTGGCTGGCGCCACATGTCGTTACCCTGACTACCGTCCGGTCCCGCTGTCCTGTCGCTGATGCGTCACTCTTGGTGCCCTGGCTGGCGTCATATGCCGTTACCCTGACTACCGTCCGGTCCCGCTGTCCTGTCGCTGATGTGTCACTCCTGGTGCCCCGGCTGGCGTCACGTGCGGGTACCCTGACTGTCGTCCGGTCCCGCTGTCCTGTCGCTGATGCGTCACTCTTGGTGCCCTGGCTGGCGTCACATGTCGTTACCCTGACTACCGTCCGGTCCCGCTGTCCTGTCGCTGATGTGTCACTCTTGGTGCCCTGGCTGGCGTCACGTGCGGGTACCCTGACTACCGTCCGGTCCCGGTGTCCTGTCGCTGATGTGTCACTCCTGGTGCCCCGGCTGGCGTCACGTGCGGGTACCCTGACTGTCGTCCGTCCCGCTGTCCTGTCACTGATGTGTCACTCTTGGTGCCCTGGCTGGCGTCATATGCCGTTACCCCTGACTACCGTCCGGTCCCGCTGTCCTGTCGCTGATGTGTCACTCCTGGTGCCCCGGCTGGCGTCACGTGCGGGTACCCTGACTCGTCCGGTCCCGCTGTCCTGTCGCTGATGTGTCACTCTTGGTGTCCTGGCTGGCGTCATATGCCGTTACCCTGACTACCGTCCGGTCCCGCTGTCCTGTCGCTGATGTGTCACTCCTGCTGCCCTGCCGGTGGTCTTATCACCAAGCTCCAGCCGCTGGACTGCTAATGACGTCACACACCTTGTTGCCCCGGTTGGCATCTAAACCTGGTTCTCTTTTACTAAGGTGGCAGTCATTTAGCCTACCGCTGACGTGACTGTTACCCTGCCGCTGACGTGACCGTTCCCCTGCCGCTGATGTGACTGTACCCTGCCGCTGACGTGACTGTTACCCTGCCGCTGACGTGACTGTTACCCTGCCGCTGACGTGACTGTCACCCTGCCGCAGACGTGACCGTTTCCCCTGCCGCTGATGTGACTGTTACCCTGCCGCTGACGTGACTGTTACCCTGCCGCTGACGTGACTGTTACCCTGCCGCTGACGTGACTGTTACCCTGCCGCTGACGTGACCGTTCCCCTGCCGCTGATTGTGACTTTTTACCCTGCCGCTGACGTGACTGTCACCCTGCCGCAGACGTGACCGTTCCCCTGCCGCTGATGTGACTGTTACCCTGCCGCTGACGTGACTGTTACCCTGCCGCTGACGTGACTGTTACCCTGCCGCTGACGTGACCGTTCCCCTGCCGCTGATGTGACTGTTACCCTGCCGCTGACGTGACTGTTACCCTGCCGCTGACGTGACTGCTACCCTGCCGCTGACGTGACTGTTATCCTGTCACTGACGTAGCTGTTACCCCTGCCGCTGACGTAGTTGGTACCCGGGCAGGTGATTGCGCACGACGAGGACGCCGGTGTGAACTCCGAGCTGCGCTACTCGATCGTGTCGACGGACGGCCTGCGTCTGACCATCGAGCCGCGGCTGGGCCAGCTGCGGCTGCCGACGGACGGGGCGCCCATCGCCGCCGGCAAACACCAGCTGACCGTGAGTTATGGACGGCTAGTGGCCGGCACCTGCAGGGGCGTTGCGCTGCGCAGTGTGCGGTTTGATCTACGAGCGGCACCGCGCGAGCATCGACCGCGCGGGCGGCGTCCGGTGAAGCCATATTCAAATATGCGGGCATGACATTTTCGTTGATTGGACAGGTGTTTGCGTCTTGCATGCATTGGTGTCCACAGTAGTTGCGCCATTGCGGGTCCACATAGTTACGGTGTTTGCGAACACCAATACAAAGCAGGATTGGCACTTCAGGCCGGTGAAGCTAGATTCTGCTTCTTTCCGTTTTACTGATTTTTGTTGATTATAACCGTCATCAGCTGGCAAAAACATAGAACCCCACGAGCTAGTTCAAACTACGTGTTTGGTCTGCGCTATTATAGTGTGTTAAGGTTTCATATTCTTACCAAAGGCCAGGTATATTGAGTTCCTTGTGAGAACACGCGCTCTGATGCATGGCTGACTTCCATGGCTGACCCCTGTTTCATGAGGCTGCAACGGATGGATTACATGTCAGTCGTAAGATGCTCAGAATTATGCTTTGTCAGCATATGGGCGTACGCACCCCACTGCAATTGTCAATATTAGATGGCTCAGGGTGTTTTTCAAATTGTTGTGGACAAGAACGAAAACTAAAAGGAAATATTGTGAGCGTTCTAGGGATGCAAATTTAGGAACTCTGTAAAAAAGACCATTTATAACAACTTAACTGATCCTTTCATGACCACATATTTCACGTCGGACGGGAAAAGTGCAACCTAGATGGACACCAGTGCCCCGTCATGGTAGTCATGCATCATGGACGATACAATTCGTTGGCACCGACTTTGAAGTTGTTGATTTTCTTGGAGCCCAGATTTAGCCAGTAGCATCAGTATCATAGTATCAGGAAGACACAACTGCTGGGTTTCTCGTCATCTGGCATGTCAGCTCACTGGATCTTTTTGTACTATTTTGAAAGGCGCAATTTTTCAGGCAATTCCTAATCTCGCTATCATCAATGTAGATTCCATGGTAATTCATGGTAATGACATTCCAACGGTAATGCTCAACATGTAATTTGTTATACTGCTGTGTTGTTCCACGCTTGGCACATGCTTTGCCATGCTTGATTTTTTTTGACAGTTTCTGCCATTTTTTGCCACCAGTAGTTCCTGCGAACTGCTCTGAACTGGCAAAAACCGGCCGGCAGTTTACGTTTCAGTCGGTTACTGCCAGCCCTGGTGCAGTGTGGCCCAACCTGCCTGATCAATAGCTGAGTTGGCTGGGACGCCCTGACTTCATCACTCGGCGCCAACGATCTGTCGTCACATGGCAGCCACGGCATGCCCCTGGCTCAGTTGTGAATTATTTATGCTAGTTAATATCTATACGCTCACAATGTTCCACCGAGCTAACCCGACGCACTTGAAGTGCTCCGAATCACGCTGCGGACTGGCGTTTATGGCCGTCCGGCTGATGGGTCGGGTCCGTGCGGTAGTCGGGTGAGCGACCTCCGTTTTGGACGAATGAATTGGCGGGTTGATAAGGGTGAGGACACCCACAAGACAGTTTGATTGTTTAAGACGGCTGTACTGTTTTTTCTTGTGGATGTGAAAATCATGTGCGATGAACAAACATTCTTGAACTGGAGCGATGACTGTTGTCTTGTGCCCGGTGTTCTTGAAAAGATGCCTGCCTTGTTGGTCGCTGAAATAGCGAATTATCTGCTTTCGGTATGCCCTGGTACATTAAAGGATGGCTCCTTAAAAAAGCTGGTAATGCCGAAACATCGGAAGCTAAAGACCTTCTTCCTTGATATCATGCACATGACGTGTTGAGTTTGCTTTGTCAGGCTTTTCAATGAAATGTTCACATTTGTGTGGTTTTCTGACTGAGTGGCCGGATTGTAGCACACAAATGTCGACGACCATAACGGTATCTAAGCGTAAAATTTTCCAGCTCCTTGGCTTGCATGCAGCTTATTTACCACATTGTTCCACACCGGATGACGTGAGGAGTGTCGCGTGATCACGTCGACGTAGTTCCGCGAAATTAGTAGTGGGCGGGGCTGGGGGGTCAAGCAGTGAAACCAATGGCGAAACGCACCGCCAAAATGAGCCGACGAACGGTTTTATCCCCTGATTTGCCTAACTTCCTTTTTAAAGTGTGGGAGGTGGGTGGCGAGGGGGGACGGGAGCCCCGCAGCTGAACAGAGCTGCGCCGCCGCGTGGTCAGGATTGACAGCGCTGTCGGCTGACGGCCCGGCGGACAACCAAGGCCTATGACCCCGCCAACCGCCGCCACCGGCCGCCGGTTAGCGGGGTGTGGCGCCATGACCTTTACGACGCAACAGTGCATCTTTTCTTTCGCAAAATTGTGATGCTTCCAAACTTCAGCAATTGTTGTCAGACACCGGTGGCGTAATTATGTCCAGCGTACGCAGTGCAATCATCTGCTGTCCTTTTTCTGATAACCGTAGGTGGTGAATGAAACATTCCCACCAAGTACGTTCCCGACTCCACGTGAAGAGTGATGAGCAGCGCTTGGATGGCAAATGAACCGGGACGGACATCGTTCATTGTCAAAATGTAAACGTCTCACTTATTTCCGTGAGAATCACGCGGTCTGCTATGCTTTAGATGTACGGCACCTGGGGTTGAGAAGAGCAAGTGATGCGACTGGTTTGTTGCATCCCTTTTATTTTGATGGACGACGTGTTCAGGTCTCGTCTGTCGCGTTGAACCGACTGTGGTGTTCGCATATGATCGCCATCTCGGCTGTAACGTCGGCAGCGACGTCGGGATTTGGATATGGCTCTGACAAAAGAATTTGGAGTTGAGCAATTGGCGGCACATTGTAGCCGGGCTTGAATCGAACCGGGACGCCAACCCGTCACCAACCCGCCGCAGTAACGAGTGCTTGCCGCCGCGTTGAGGGCGTAACTGTTTCATGCATCTGTCAATGATACACGCCGCCGCTCGTGGGCACGTGGCGATTGAGGCCTCGGCGTTTCAACCTTCGGAGATTGTCCGATATTGACGTGTGAGGCAGGAGGGCCTTGGTGCCGGGGCGCTGTGACGGAAGCAGCGGCAATGTGGTCACCGCACACATCGTAAGTAGGTGTTCCCGCACGACGACTGCCCGCAAGGAACAGGGTTAGAGCATGGCAGTGACAGCACAGGAAAAGTGAGAAGGCAATTGCTGCTGTACGTGTGTGCCTCGAGTGCCGGCATGGGTTGGCTCGCGACAGGTGACCTTTGCCGTAGCGTGCCGTGCCGACCAGACCCGACCTTTCGCCGACTTTTCGTGCACCGTCGCTGGGGAACAAGGAGACGCGCCCAGTGAAGGCCGGTACAGAAAGGCAACCAGCGTGAAGCTCGCCGAGTAGCCAAACTGCTCACGAGACTCTTTGGAGGATATTTATTGCTTGGTGATGGCTGATAAAACATCACGCTGACGAAATGCCCTATAGGGACGATCACTCTAAACATTGAGCAACTATCCGTCATTATCAGCAGAGCAGCACCCTGCACGAGTGCCAGCTCACCGCACTCGGTAATGGGCGCCAGGCGCTGAGGTCGGAGCGGCGCCTGACGCCTCCCTCGCGTAAGCGGGGCCCTGTCCGTGGGTGAAGCGTCCAGACCGTCCTGCGATGTCAGTGGGGCCCTATCCGTGGGTGAAGCGTCCAGACCGTCCTGCCATGTCAGTGGGACCCTATCCGTGGGTGTAGCGTCCAGATCGTCCTGCGATGTCAGCAGGGCTCCTGGCCGTGGGTGTAGCGTCCAGACTGTCCTGCGATGCCAGCGGGGCCCCTGTCCGTGGGTGTAGCGTCCAGACCGTCCTGCGATGTCAGCAGGGCTCCTGGCCGTGGGTGTAGCGTCCAGACTGTCCTGCGATGCCAGCGGGGCCCCTGTCCGTGGGTGTAGCGTTCAGACCGTCCTGCGATGTCAGTGGGGCCCCTGTCTGTGAGTGTAGCGCCCAGGCCGTGCCGTGATGGCGCCGGCTCCCGTCCGTGGGCGCCGCGTCCAGACCGTCTCGTGATGGCGTCGGCTCGGCGCCTCACGTGTCAGCGGGGCCCCCGCCCGTGGGTGTCGCGTCCAGACCGTGTCGTGATGGCGTCGGCTCGGCGCCTCACGTGTCAACGGGGCCCCCGCCCGTGGGTGCCGCGTCCAGACCGTGTCGTGATGGCGTCGGCTCGGCGCCTCACGTGTCAACGGGGCCCCCGCCCGTGGGTGCCGCGTCCAGACCGTCTCGTGATGGCGTCGGCTCGGCGCCTCACGTGTCAGCGGGGCCCCCGCCCGTGGGTGTCGCGTCCAGACCGTGTCGTGATGGCGTCGGCTCCGCGCTGCCGGCTCGATCGCAACCTTTCCAGCGGCTGCAGGCGCGTCGTTAAACCTGAAACGGCCCTGGAATGAGAATTGGTGCCTGAACGGCCGAATTCGTGCATGCCGCGACTGAACTGGCGGCTCCGGCTTCTGCCCGCTGGGCTGCTGCTCACCTTGGACGGCGAATTTGGCGCCAATTTCCATGCAAATGCGGCCCATTGTGGACAGATATGACCTATTTCCCGAGCTGTAATCGTTAGCCAAACGATATCTGCAGAATCTGGGGTACGTCACAGATAGCGAGTGTGACAGAGTGTCGAGTTGGTCACGCTCATTCAACTTGGACCGGAAGACCAACGCAATCTAATGCATAAATGAATGATTAACTCCCACCATCGACGAACGCCAGTGGTGGACCCCGCAAAGCTCAGCAATATGACGTGTGGTGAGAGGTGGCGGCAATGAGCTGCCAGCGAAAACGTTTGTGTGTTGCCAAATGAAGAGCGGCGTAGATAGCGACGGCTCGGTATCTGTATGTACTCCAAGTGCACGCTTCATTTCATATAGTGAATCGTGTGAGGAGCTGAACCCTGATGTGAGCTGTACCCGACGCTTTCTACGTTGACAGGAAGGAATTCGTATTCCAGCCAACGTGCTATTGTTAATTCCCCCACAGAGTATTGCATTGTTTTGGTTACTATGTCCACCGATCTTCCACCATATCCAATAATTTATTTGAATTTACTAAGCTCCAGCGTACTGGCAGTGTGCTTCGCTGGCCAGTTTGCTTACTGCTGGCCCATTCTGCCTTCATCACCGGTTGGATTATGGAGGCTGGCTGACCTGCGCCCGACTGTAATTTCAAGGCATCACGCGAGGAAGCCCCACATAATGCTGCCGGCGGCCTTGCGTGAGCGACGGCGGCGCCCCGCCGTCTCGGGTGTTGCTCGGTTGTCGCGGCCTCGTCCAGGTCCGTCCGTGTGTGTCAGTGGGACGGCACGTTATGGGCAGCTACTGATCTTTCGAATTTCGGTGGAGCGGCCCGGCCGCCGCGGCTGGACGCGGCTGCGCTGTTAAGGAAGGACGCGGTGGTCGAAAGGACGTGCTGGGCCTTGGCAACTCGCAACAGCAATTTACGGATGAAGGTGACTTTACGTTGACTGATGCGTCGTTGTCGAAATGGTCCTGAGTGGAGCAGTTTTTCATTTCGATGCAATGCACGAGACGTGTTTTGGCAACATAATCAAAAAGGAAAACTTTTTCGCATTATGCCTGGTAAACTCGCTTGTTTTCTGAATGCAAGTGAAAGCGAGCACTGAACGAAAACTCCATATATGAACTTCACTTGCTCGGTGAATTGTGGCTGGTCTGCGTTCTGTAGCGGCGAAGAATGTACCTGTCCAGGCCCGACCGACGCTGATGCTCAAAACAGTAATGCGGTCCGTTCATGCGTGATGCGGTGACTGCCATTTTTGGTCTCAACATCTTGTCGCAGGAATGTATAGGAGGCCAATATTATTTGTTTATCCAAACCGTCGTGACAGTGACATTTACTACGAAAGAGGTAAACTTCCCTAGCACGGAGGGTCTGCCTTTCAAGCTTTGTGGATGCGTTTCTTTCTAGAACTTTTCTGTTTTGTAAAAGTACTTTGGGCAGGGGCGAGGCTAGGGGCAGCTAGGGTGGGTCGTGGAAGCAGAGGCCCTGGAGGCTCGTGCGAGGCCAGGGACAGTTGGAACGGGTCGTGGAAGCAGAGCCACTGGAGGTTCGTACGAGGCCAGGGGACAGTTGGGGCGAGTCGTGGGAGCAGAGGCCTTGGAGGCTCGTAAGAAGCAGGGGACAGTTGGGGCAAGTCGTGGAGGCAAAGGCCTGGAGACTCGTGCGCCTCGCGATTGCCTCTCATGGCCTTGACCTTGGCCTGGCTGGGGTTCGGGGTACTCGTCTCGGTGAGCGCTGACCTCCCGACGCGGGGGTGTTGCCCTGGGATGCCGACTCAGCTGTGTTGTACCGGCCCACTGGAATCGGCTCAGTGTTAAAGCTCGTCTGTACTGTTGCTATGCATGGTCTGCTTGCTTAATGGCATGCTGTTTTTCGCTCAGTGTGTGGGCTTTTTCGACTGCAGTGAAGCCACTACGCTGGTTAAGGCGCCTCGTGAGAACGGCGCCGGGCTGCGCGGACGCCACTTCCTCCGCTGGTGTGCCTGGTTATGTTCAGTTTCGCCGACACCCCAACGACCGCCTGTCCCCTTCTGCCTTACTCGGCCTGTGTTAAGGTGCCGTGCCTGGCGGCCGCCATCGTGCCGGACCGTGGTTTTGGCCGCACAAGGGCAGATGCCGCGCAAACAGGGTATATAGGCAGCGCTACAGGTGCGCAGTGCCCCGGACGCGACAACCAGGCCAACGGGGTCCGATCGTGGGGTCCGATCGTGCGCTTGTAGCGGACGCCGCTGTCATGTGTTATGCAGCTGGCGAGCGGACTGATAGGGTAGCAGTGCAGGGCGGCGCTGACGCTGACCGGCGCCACCGACAGAGAGACCACTGACGCCGGTGGGGATGCTGGTCCCGAGCGGACCGGTCCCGTCTCGCGCAGACCGGCGCATGCCGCGGACCGGCGTAGACCGGCGAGGACCGCGCGGACCGAGGGGACCGTGCGAACTGTGTGGACCGGCGCGGACCGGCGCAGACCGGCGCAGACCGGTGTGGACCGGCGCGGACCGTACCCCGCGCTCGCTTGTCATCGGCGATGGCAGCGGCCGCGACCGGCACCCGCCACAGCAATGCCCGGGAAAGGCCGGCCGGCCGGTCGGAGACCCCCTCGTGCGGAGCCTCGCCAACGCGCCGATGTTCTCGGGAGGGCCAGACGGGTGGGGGTAATGGCTCTTCTGTATCGAGTAGCCACCGAGACCGCTGAGCACCCGAAACACTCTGCTAAGTGCTCCTAGTGGGAAGAGCCGCGCAGCTGAGATGCTATCCCGGTCATTTGTCCATATCTCCAGACAAGCACACAGAAAGCCTTTCTCGTGTGGCTCGCCACAGCTTACTATCGAACGAAGGACCCTCTGAGGAATTCGGAGGTTTACTCGCTGTCTGGCAGGTGTCTGGAGACGTCCGCTCCATGAATGCATGCATGAAGAGCGATAACGTCACTCATGTTGGCTTCGTCACGATAAAAATCACTGGCGTCCTGTGTTTTTTTCTTTAATTTGTTGTAGACCAAAGGCGTTCGTCTCAACTGCTGTTGATACGCGCCTGGGCGGCCGGTTAAATGCGCCTCGCTGGGATGGGGGTGGGGTCAACTTGCCCGCTCTAAGATCTCAAAAACCAGGAGCTGGATACGTCATATTCACGGGGCAAGTACGGCTCTATGTGAACTCACTTGTGCCAAACTTTGAAGTTTCTAGGTTGTGACATTCGTGTCAAGCAAGGTCAAACTCTTGATAGGCACCTGAAGTTCCTTTCTATGTCCTTACGTAACCAGCTTTAATCTAGATATCACGTATAAGCAAATGTCATTGATGCTTAAGTCATCGTTCTTGCTTGACCTTACGAAATTGAAATGACAAAACCCCTTCGGGATTGTTTAGATGTTTGAATTTACAATCGGCACCAAATACAACTATAGACGGGATGCTGCTAAAATTTAAAAAGGTTAAGTCCATTTCAGGTCATTGACTCCGTTGACTTTCATGAAGTCAAAATAAGAAATTATTTTGACGTTGTGGTCCAGGAATTCGAAAGGAGCGCCACAAGTACCTCTCAAAGCAAGTTTTCCAGTAACAATGCGGTTTGGTTTTGACCTTGATCTTTGGTTCGGCTGCGCCGCGGCGTTCGGATGTTATTGCAGAAAAAAACCCGGGGGGTGAAGTGTTGACCCCTACCCGAGTGCATGTTAGCAGTGAGGACCTGCTGTCCCAGTTGAAAGTGATAAACGTGTCGGCAGTGAGGTCTCTTGTTGTTTCAATGTGGAGACTACGTCCAGAAGCACTGTTAAACATGTATCTGTTGTCACCGCATGCAACGGTAATTGACAGTGATCGTTCACTCAGCGTCATCCCATTGTTCCCCTGTTTCGGCGACATACGGTGGCCTGGTTACCGCTGAAGCCCCCGCTGTCCGCAAGCAGGGACAGCAGACGGTTGTTGGCACAGTCATAGTGTTTGGCTGCGCTGTTTGCGCGTCAAGGCGACAGACCACAGTCTGGGCAGCACCGAAGCTCGGCCATTGCCCCACCCAGGTCAGGGCAGTGGACAGCTGTGCTGTTACCACCGAGCTCTCCCGTTGTCGCCAGATGACGGCGGCGCATTGTGGCCAGTTGCTCACGCTGAGCGCCACTTCTGTGTCCAGGTGCGGGCGACGGACGGCGGCAAGCCGGTGCGCTCGTCGGTGGCGCGGGTGCTGCTCACCGTGCTGGAGGAGGGGCCGCCGCCGCCCCACCCGCCCCGGGTGGACCTGCCTGAACGGGCCGTCCAGGTGTTCGAGACGGACCCGGTCGGTCACCTCGTCATCCTGGCCACTGCCAACGCCACGCTGCTCTTCAGTATTGCAGGTGAGGGTCAGAACTTTTGGGCCGTGGTCTCCTGCGTGTCTCTCAATACGTCATGCCAGCCACCGCCAACGCCGCGCTGCTCTCCAGTATTGCTCGCGAGGGGGAGGGACCGGACTCCGTGTATACATGCACTTACCTCTTTCCGTGCCGCAATCCGTGTACATGCACGAAGGTTGGACTAAGGCATTGGAGGGATGTGCGTGATGATTCACAATGATGCATGGTATGCAGACACATGCCCTGGAGTGTTGCACCTACGAGCCATTGGCGTGCTTATGGTACGCCGAAGCACGCCGGGCCGGCCTCACGTCCGATGCGAACGGAAAATGGCAGCAAACAAAACTGAGGCCGCATGCCGCCGGAGAATATGTCAGCCGGCGGCGAAGTTCCGAACACTGGACTGAAATATGCAGGACCCGTGGCCATGTCGCGCCCGGCCAGTACCCTGCCGAGGGGCGTATTTGTGCCGCCTGCAAAGGTCAGCCAAATCGTTCGAAGCACCCGGAGTTTATGAGCAGCTGCAAGTGTCTGACCCTCGCGGAATAATTCAAACGATGGCCCTCCAGTCCCCAACCACGCCAAGTTTTCGGTCGATCCGGTGAGTGCGTTCTGACATACGCGCTTCGCTTCGTGGCTTGCCGGACCGGTGTAGCGTTTAGCGTATGTAATTTTTTCTTTTGTGCGGCGAGGTTCCTTATTTCTGCCACCTGCCTTTGACTCGTCACGCACGGTTGCCCCACCCTCCCCCTCTTCCCACCGGTAATCTATCGAGAGTAAAGGCTGTCGCGCCGCGAGTGCCGGCCGTATTAGCCTGATGGCATCTGGACGCGGAGCAGCGCTCGCCCCAGTTGGAGTGAAGTCCGTGCCGGCGCCGGCGAGGGCCATTGCACCGCGCTCCCATCACGCGTTCGGCCGGAGTGCAGCTGTGCCGAAGGGCTGCGGCGGAGCCGATGCTGCCGAGTGGCGCGCTCCCGCTGCTGCGTAATGGATTGGTCTGCTGAGGCGCGGTCCCGTATTGAGATGTGCGCTTCTGGTACACGCGGTATGATCGAGCGGCCAGTGAGTCGTGCAATGGACAGGGTGAGTGGCGTTCAGTTCGAGCCGATTATGTTCATTGCTCACCGAGGCGTGCGCGGGGCAATGCTGACTAAAATACGGCCGCTGTGGATTCAGACTTGCAATCGTCCTGGCTATAGATGGAACTACGTGACTCGAATGCAGAATCGGTGCTCGAGTGCCGTTACAAAACGCAATGCCTGCGGCATTGTGTTTTAGGCACCGCGGTAACCGAGGTGTTCTTTACACGCGATAGCTAAATGTGCCATGGTAATAAGTCCGCCTTGAAATGCGTGTGCCTGTCGATCCATATTAACGGGCGGGTTCGTCTGTATTCCGCCGTGTGTCCGTTCCCGGTCCAAATCGGTCATGATTCCGACAGAAGCATAACAACAGATTTGCGCCCATTCTTAAATCCCCACAAAATGGGTAGAGATGCGATACGAGAAAGTTGTTTTCATATTCTTAAGCAGCCTTTTCTGCATCTCTCGGACGATTTTAAGGACCAGGACTGAAAATGGCCTGCGGTTATAGCTTGCATGACTGACATGCATGGACTATTATAGCATTACCAGTCAAATGGCTGCGGTGTGCACTTCGGCACGTTAGGTCAGTTTTAGAGCATTCGATGTGCATCACGAGCAGGTGGTGGCATTCCCTGTGATTCGGGAATAGGTCCACACATTTATTCTGCCCAGGGACTGGGCATTCTCCGACATGCTGGCAGGAGAGAATAACTGATGACCATTTGTTACGTCTGTATCGGGGAACTGCTCCCATGTTACGGGATTGATCCCAGGCCGGTGATGTACGCCCAATCGCGGTGCATGTGGTATTCCTTTCCCGGTGGGGTTAAAGACATTTCTGCCGCAGGCGCAACACCGGAGGCAGATTCAGCGTCAACAGCCAGGGCGGCATCGTGATCTGTCCCGCCCGCTGGACTGGGAGACAACGCCGAGTACACGATGAACGTCCTCCGCCACGGACGGACACCACGTGGTCTTCACGCCGGAGGGCCGCGGAGGACCACAAGCCCGAACACCTCCGTCGCAGTCTACACCTCTCCGCGCTGCTCCGGGCGCTCCCTCACCACCGCCGCCCCGCATTCACCTCCGTGCAGTCTTACCCGCTCCGCGCTTCTCCGGGCGCTCTCCCTCACCACCGCCGCCAGCTCAGTCCACCTCCGTCGCAGTCTACACCTCTCCGCGCTGCTCCGGGCTCCTCCCCACCACCGCCGCCCGCCAGCGCAGTCCAACCTCGTCCGTATACACCTCTCCCGCGCTGCTCGGGCTCTCCCTCACCACCGCCGCCAGCGCAGTCCACCTCCGTCGCAGTCTACACCTCTCCGCGCTGCTCCGGGCGCTCCCTCACCACCGCCGCCAGCGCAGTCCACCTCCGTCGCAGTCTACACCTCTCCGCGCTGCTCCGGGCTCTCCCTCACCACCGCCGCCAGCGCAGTCCACCTCCGTCGCGGTCTACACCTCTCCGCGCTGCTCCGGGCGCTCCCTCACCACCGCCGCCAGCGCAGTCCACCTCCGTCGCAGTCTACACGTCTCCGCGCTGCTCCGGGCGCTCCCTCACCACCGCCGCCAGAGTGCGGCCGGTACGCCGCGAATGGGTTTCCATCTGAGGGCGCGGGTTGTCCGGGTGCGGGCGGCCGCGAGCCGCCGGCTGTCTCCAGCAGTCGGCCCTCGGCCACCGCCTGCTCAGGTATCGACGCCCGTGCTGGGTCTGGCGACAGCGTGCGACGCGCGTTTTGTGGGCCCTCGGGGAAGGAATAACGCGCCGTTAGAGCCGGCACGGTCGGCGGTGGGCCGTAATGACCGACTGGCGTGGTCATTAATTGCCTTGTCGGAAGTTTGTGTTCGAAGGGTCATCTGCGCCAACATCCGGCGCCGACCAGAGCCTGTTGGCAATGCGGAGGTTGTGGGCGCGTGTGCCACTGTCCTGAAGCCTTCCTCGAAGCGAGCTGCTCCGCCGCGTCCCGTTTGGCGTGCGCTGTCGGCATGGCTGCGGCTGTGTTGGGCTCCTGCTGTTGCCGACGACTGGTGCGACGGTGTTGTTGGTCTGCCCGGTCTTCGTAAACGTTACGCGAGATACATGTTTCCATTGAAGTCACCAGGGCAGTAATCTTTCCCTCCGGTGATCGCAATGCCGTCTGTACAAGACGGCTGACAGGGCGTGTGCTCCTGACGTCACATATTTCCAACGAGCGTCGCGCACCGCCAGCTGTGTCAAGTACTTGTCCACAAAAGTGCACGGGGGGGGGGGGGGAGAGGTAGCTTGGGAGAACAAATTATGAGAACAACTGTCGTCAGTTGATTCAGCCTTGTTGGCGGTGCTCCGCGAGACGGCAGTGGTCTCCGCGCGGGTGCGAACCGCTGGCTGGTGTCCGCATCTGCTGACGGACGGGGGCTCATTTCGCCGCAACACCGGTCGTTCTCAAATGTCGACGCCACAAAGAGGTCTCTTGCCTGCTACAGGGCGTGATGAACGACTGTGTTCGCGTCCCGCGGGGCGGGCGCCGCGGACTCGGGTATTTCTGTCGGGGTGGATTGTTTGCCGGTGCGGCTGACTCCGCGAGATTCCGGAGCTCCCGCCCACTCCGCTCTTAGCAAATGACCCGGTCCCTTGCTGCAGGCCGTCCGGACCAAGGAAGGGCGTATTCGTCTTCTTATTGGTCTTTCTCTGTCGAGCGGCCGGCCGGCGACACGCTGCTTGATCTCTGCCCCCCCCCCCCCCCCATCGGCAAGGGATTATTGCGCACCGCTGCTCAGGCACTCCTATATTGCTCTGAGTTGGCCGGTGTCGAGCCTACCACTGCTGGCGTCACTGGCCCCCTCCCGTGGCATCATGTTAACGATGGACGTTTGGTGATCGCCCAGCCGTGCACTGTGTGCCGTCCCACACTGTGTTAAAATTGACTAAAACTGTAACACGGTTCCATTCAGTATTCTAGGGCCTGTGTTATGCGTCCCGATGTTGTGCACGTCTCACGATGTCTTTGTCATGCCTGCTCGTCCGCCGCCAGCTGCGGATCACAGTCTCAGTGCGTGTCTCACGGTGTGTTCACCATGTCCGCCGCCAGCTGCGGATCACAGTGCTGGACGTGAACGACCGGGATCCGGCGTTCGAGCGCGCCCTGTACGCCGTGAACGTGTCGGAGGCGGCCGAGCCGGGTGACCGGCTATTGACAGTGAGCGCCGCCGACCCGGACGGCGAGGCGCTGCTCTACTACGGACTGGAGGCGGCGCAGAGCGACCGCTCTCTCCGTCTGTTCAGCATCGACCCCATGACCGGCCAGGTCACCGTGGCCGGACGACTGGACAGGTGAGGTGATCGATTGGGTCAGTCAGGTCACCATCGCCTGGAGATTGGGCAGTTAGATTCATCTATTTGGTCAGTTAGGCTGTTAGTTCAGTTGGCTGTTAGGTTCATTTCGGAAGCAGATTGTTTAATGAACATGAGCCGTTAGAAATAGCAGCGCTTTCGTTGTTTGTTGCCTTTCGAGATGTTCTTTCGATCCCTCGGATTAAGTGGATCGAGAAGCCAGCAGGTGCCAGCTTCTCCAGATTGCGGATCGAACTGTTCTCCACAGACGCAGCCCAGAATGTCAGCGCTTGATCCGCGAGATCAAAAGAACATTTCGGAAGATTTATTGATCAGTCTAACGGTTTGCTGCCCGCCCGCGGCGCGCGCGTGTGCGTGCGTGCGTGCGTGCGTGCGTGCGTGCGTGCGTGCGTGCGTGCGTGCGTGCGTGCGTGCGTGCTGTCCACATACTCCGTCGCTCAGTCTCTGTTCCTCTATGATGTGTCGTGCTCAGGTGGTGAGTGCTGACCCCTGACCGATGCCGCCGTTGGCTGGGGTCCAGGGCGCGGGACGAGACCCTGGACGGGGCTTGATTTTGCCTGAGGCCGGCTCTGTCGCGTGCCCGGCCGGTGCCGCCGGTGGCCGAGATCCAGGGCCGCGGGACGAGGCCCTGGGCGGGGCTTGGTGTCGCCCGAGGCAGGCTCTGACGCGGGCTGCTCCATGTGTGTTCTGCAGGCCTCTCGGCCGCACGCGGCCTGATTTCCAAAGTCCCGCCTGGTCGCCGCTGTCACTGTCGCCATGCCAGTTCTCAGCCCACAAGGGAGGGCCTGGCCTTATGACCGGCTGACACTGACGTAGTTGGGCGGGGCTGTGCGCCGTCCGCACCGAATGGCATGTCCGCGCTGCGCATCGCTGCCGTTGTAGCGATGCAGTAACCAGCGGTCCGCGGTGGTGACATTAGCTGAAAACTGGAGTGTACGGTGCAGACTGAGCATTGGCGTTGCATAAACTCAGACGTCGATGTACCCAACCCCACAAAATTAAACCAGCATCGACGTAAAGCCGGCTTGGGGCAGGAGGTGCCGTCGCTCCGTGTACCAAAGCCACAGCGTGAGTGGTGACGGGACGCCTCGGTATCGACCTGGTGCCGGACGTCACCGGCAGAGGCCGTGGCCCCGGTCAATTTGAGTCGGCTATGACAGGGCGGCCCGAGTGGTCGATGCGACTGTGAACGCTAATTATCAGTCTGCTCATCGACACGCAAAAGGCCAGTCGAGGCCGGCGGGCTGGCGCGTGCGCGGCACGACGTGAGCGTCTGGAGCACATGAGAGTGGGCGGCGCGCCGTCTGACCCGCCGTCTGGCCCCCCGCGAGCATCGGCCGCGCCGGCCGGCGCTCGTACCCACACGGGGCTCGGCGAGAGACCGTGACATTAGGCGTGATTGCCCTGGAAGGACGGGTCCCGCCAGATAGGCGGCTATAACAGGCCCGGTCTGTCGATGTGTCGAGGTCGGGGCTTGGCTCGCTTTATCAGCTGACGCGGACTGGCGGCGCCACTCAGCTCACGTGGTCAGGTCGGACGAGGCGCTGTTTTCGTCTCGTTTCCGAGCGTCATTTGGCAATCTGGACAATGTCTCCGTTACTGGCTCGTCTCAGGCTGTGTCTTTGTCATCAGCAGATCTCGTACTGTATTGTTCGTTAATGTTTGACGGCTGTATCGTATATGTCTTCTCTAGTTGTCCGATCTTCCAACGGGACACCCAATTTTCGTATTTGCCCATGATGTGCCACTTTCCATCACCGTTTGCGAACAACTGAACTCCTGGTGGCACATCCGCCTCCTCCTCTGTCCTCTCGCTGCCGGTCGGACAGGACAGCCGGCAACACAGCCGCCTCCTCAGTTCGTCCTCTCGCCGCTCGTCTGCCTAGACAGCGACTAACACGTTCTCCCCCGTTCGGCCGCAGGGAGACGGAGCACGAGCACGTGCTGACGGTGTCGGTGCGGGACCAGGGCACGCCGGCGCGCCGCGACTACGCCCGCCTGCTGGTACACGTGCGGGACGAGAACGACCACCGTCCGCAGTTCCTCAGCGACCTGGTGGTGGGCCAGGTGCACGAGACGGCGCCGGTCGGCTGGCAAGTGGTCACCGTGCTGGCCACCGACCGCGACCATGGCCAGAACGCCCGCATCACCTACTCCATACTGTCAGGTAGGCCACCCCGATGTGACGTCACGTCTGTTGTGGTCATCTACACCATGCTGTCAGGCACGACACCTCCGCACTGTCAGGTATGCCATGGTCACCCACTTCAGACCGTCAAATATGTCCGTTCATGCATTCCATATTGTAAGGTGTACCACCTCTGTAATGTCAGACATATGCCCTGCCCCTGTTTCGTGTTCTGTACCGTCCGATGTAACCGGGCGCTGCGTTATCTGTACGGTGAGACGGGCCGTGTTTATCCTTTTCGCATTGGTTCATACAGTTTGCATGGGAGCTATAGGTGTGCTTTCGAGTTCTCAGGATTGCAAATCTTTTTGGCGAAATCTCTCGTGACTTCATTTCGCACAAAGCCGGGCGCTTGGTCCACGCCGACATTGTTCACGCCCGGTCGACATTGTCACGGCCGTAGTCCCCAGAAGTGCTCTGGCCACTACCGTCCAGGCCGGCTCGCGACGGACCTCGTCCCGGCCAGGTGTGCTCGAGCCGAGCCTCGTGGCGCCGGGTCGGTCCACATCCACTCCGCGTCTCGCTTTGATGGAGCACGTGGCGTGATGAAACGACTGCAACGGTGGCCGGGCGCCGAACACACAGCCCAACAGCACGAGCCCTAGATGAGCTCCAGTCAGGCCCCAGACGGGCCCAACAGCACGAGCCCTAGACGAGCTCCAGACGGGCCCCAGACGAGGTCGCGTCGAGCCGCAGACGAGGCCTGGTCGAGCCCAAGAGGAGCCCCAGATGAGTGCAGACGGTCCTAGACAAGGCCCAAACAAGCCCCAGACGAGCTGCAGATGTGCCACAAACGAGTTCCAGAGGGGCCCAGAGGAGCCCCTGACGGGCCGGGACGTCGACACCTGGCCAGGCAGCGCCGTGCGAGGCCGTTAAACGGCTATCCGATGGCACGAGCAAGGACGAGTCCCTGGCGAGCGAGGACGAGCCGGGAAGAGGGTGGGACGAGCTGCAGACTGACCCGGACGAGCGGCGGCGCCGCCTCGGTCGGGGCCGTTGCGGCGGCGTGACTGGCTCGTTGTGCGGCGGACAGCCGCCGCTCACGCCGCGCTCGCCGCTTTACGGCCGGCTTGGGCTCCGCCGCCGGCCCGGCCGGCCGGCGCCTGCTGCGCTGCTGACGGCCGTGAGCCGGCGGAGAGTGGATGGGGTCCGCCTGGCCGCTGTTCGTCCGGCGCGGCTGATTTGATGAGCGGAGTGGGCAGGTGCGGCGGCGGTGGCGGCCGCTCGTTACGGCCAGCTGTTCGCGGCGACAGGTCGGGCGTGCAGGACGCCGGGCTGACAAAGACCGCTGGTTAAAGCCGCACTCGAGTGGAGTGCGGGTAGGTCACCGGTACATTCGACCTCACCGCCGATGTATCGGGCGCGACTGACGGCGGTCAGTCACTAGTCGCGGGCTTGGGATGCGGGATGCTCATGGGATAGGTCCGCAGGCGGGGTTCATCGGCGCTGTCTCCGTGAGTTTGTGTGCTAGGCAAAGTTTCGACACGCCCGCTGACACTGCAGCGACGTCACATCCGCGACGTGCACTGGCGTTCTGGCTACACTGACCCGGGATAGCGGTGACGGCCAGCAGCGCCGCGTCTGGTCGTGACAGGGCCGCCGGCGGGTCGCCGCTCCGCCCGCTGAGGCCGGTCTGCCCAGCCTCAGCCCGCCGCCCGGCATCGCTGCGGGCTGGCGAAGAACCCGTTCGCCGTTGGCCGGGTGGCGTGCCTCCCCGACGCCGCCCGGAAGCCGTGCGGCCCCTGCGTGAGTCGGCCATCGATCCGCTGGTGTCCGTGGATGGCCCCCGGCGGCACCCGTGGCCTCGAAACAACCCCGAGCCAGCCCCCGGCGGCACTCGTGGCCTCGAGACACCCCTGAGCCAGCTCCCGGCGGCACCCGCGACCACGCAACGCCCCTGAGCCAGCCCCCGGCGGCACTCGTGACCTCGCAACACTCGCGAGCCAGCCCCCGGCGGCACCTGCAACCTCGCAACACCCCTGAGCCTGCCCCCGGCGGCACCCGTGGCCTCGAAACACCCCCGAGCCAGCCCCCGGCTGCACCCGTGGCCTAGAGACACCCCCGAGCCAGCTCCCGGCGGCACCCGTGGCCTCGAAACACCCCCGAGCCAGCCCCCGGCGGCACCCGTGGCCTCGAGACACCCCTGAGCCAGCTCCCGGCGGCACCCGTGGCCTCGAGACACCCCTGAGCCAGCCCCCGGCGGCACCCGTGGCCTCGAGACACCCCTGAGCCAGCTCCCGGCGGCACCCGCGACCACGCAACGCCCCTGAGCCAGCCCCCGGCGGCACTCGTGACCTCGCAACACTCGCGAGCCAGCCCCCGGCGGCACCTGCAACCTCGCAACACCCCTGAGCCAGCCCCCGGCGGCACCCGCGACCACGCAACGCCCCTGAGCCAGCCCCCGGCGGCACCCGTGGCCTCGAAACACCCCCGAGCCAGCCCCCGGCGGCACCCGTGGCCTCGAGACACCCCTGAGCCAGCTCCCAGCGGCACCCACGGCCACGCAACGCCCCTGAGCCAGCCCCCGGCGGCACTCGTGACCTCGCAACACTCGCGAGCCAGCCCCCGGCGGCACCTGCAACCTCGCAACACCCCTGAGCCTGCCCCCGGCGGCACCCGTAACCTTGAAACACCCCCGAGCCAGCCCGCGGCGGCACCCGTGGCCTAGAGACGCCCGCAATTCAGCCCCCGGCGGCACCCGTGGCCTAGAGACACCCCTGAACTAGCCCCCGGTGGCACCCGTGGCCTAGAGACACCCCTGAGCCAGCCCCCGGCGGCACCCGTGACCTCGAAATACCCCCAAGGCAGTTCCTGGACCAGAGGACGGCGGGGCCAGCTCGGGCATGACAACGACGGCCGGGTTTGCGTCGCTGAACGATCCTTTTTTACCCAGCAGCAGTTCGTTTGGCTAATTGTTTTGTTTTCGGCAGCCGGCTGGCTGCTTTACGTGCAGTAACTTCTGCACCAGGGGCCCGTGGGACTTCTGTTTGCGCCGAAAGGAAGGAGACGCAGTATATTGCGCCGCATCGTTGACTGGTCGCTGGCCCGCCCTGGGTTGTTTTTTATGGATGCCGGTCGTTCGACTTCGGTGATTGTTCCCGAGACTTCGTCCATCCTCAGTCGATTGGTATGGTAGGCCTCAAGTTTGAACACTCCCTTGACATGGCACTTTGGCCACCATTTGTTGGCGGGTGATGAGCGCGGATTTCTCTGTCAGGATGGGCGTGTGTGAGACACTAAGGTTGGCTGATGTGATGGATCGACCAGCCTCCAGAACAGTGACGGGTACGGGCTCAGTACTGCAGTGCCGCGTGCAGGGAACAGGGTGCCTTGCTGTCCATTGCTCGGACAGTTGGAGCTCGGTGTTAGCGGCTCACGCCTATTTGGACCCATGTTCTAGCATGTGATCTCTAAAAAACTCCCTGTGGTGATTTTATCGTAGATCGCATTCCATTTGATCGCGTTCCGAGAGCCTGGTGCTGTATCAAAAGAAGTGGGTCAGATAGCCTTGGTCAAGTAGGACCACCTTTGTGTCGATGGGTGGTTCGATTTAAATCATGATACGGAGGATGCCAGCTGACCTTTCCGTGTCATTTGGACCAAACCCTGGGTACGTTCTGTGACTCGCACCCACTGTCGCTCTGTTGGGTAGGTCCCGTTTGCTGGATCGAGCGTGCTTGGCAGGATTCATCGAAGAACATGGCTGTCCATTTGCTCGGATGATAAATCGTGTCATTTTGGTTTGCGCCGGCTCCATGCAATATGGGAATAAGACAATGCGCTGTGCCGCGAACCCCATTGCTATTTCAGCGTCAGCTGTGCCCGGATGACCTCGGGTTTTATGTCTGGCCGTACATCAGTCCTGTTTCGGATGAAGCTGACTGTTGAACTTCCTCTCTCCGCCCAGCACTAAACAAAGTTATGCCCCCTCCCCTAAGCTCAGCTTTGGAGGCCTTGTGGCGCCGGCGGCACCCTACTACACAAAGTCGGCACTGATCCATGGCCGCCGCGTGCGGCTGAGTCGCGCGGTGGCGTGGCGGTGAGCTGGCGGCGGCGGCGGCGGCGGCGGACCGGGCCTGGCCGGGCGGGCCGTCCCCGTCGGGCCGACCCGCGGGACCCACGGTCTGCGGCCTCATCAGGCGGCCGCGGCCGTAAGCCGCCGTGACGCGCCGCCGCCTCATCAAATCGCCGGCGGCACTTCGGCGCCCGGCCATCTGGCATTGACGCGGCGCCGAAACAGAATCCAATCTGGCGCGGCCGCGGCGAGGTCAGGCGGCGCAGCCCTTCAATTTGGAGGGCGGCGGCAAAACACGACCGACGACGCCGGCCCGGCCCGGCCTCGGCCGCACGGCCTCCCCGCCAGGGGCTGTCGCAGCGGACACGAATCAGCTGCTGGCTTGGCAAGAAATGTGGGAAATATTGCAAAGAAAATAAATGCATGGGATGCTTATAATGATAATGCATACGACTTTAACACACACCTACACGCATACACACTGTTAAGCACAAATGGTACTAGCTCTTTTGATCCATAGATGCCGTGGTTGGTACGGCATTTGTTAATGCAGTATGACGTTTGGGGCATGTTATATTTAGTGCATGGTACGGCGTACGGTTGATGACATTGCCATTGTCGCTGCGCGGCCTCAGCCAAGGCCGTTCCCACACGTCCCTGACGTTCCTCATGCCACTGTCGACCGAATCTTGTCTGATGGTAGTAAACCGAATTCCTGACTTAGTTATGACAACCCAAATGTCATCACTTGGTGGTGGGCGGCCTTTAAATGGAGCAGTTGCATAGTGGATGACGGTGCAGACCAGACGGCGACTTCCCGGTCGGGCGCGGCCCCTTGTAAAGCCACGGGGACATCGATTGCCGTGGCGTGTTGTTTGACCCGGATGCCGGCCTTCAGGCGTTTTGTGTCATGACTGGTGGCGTCCTCATGTGGAGTCTGTGCGCGTATGCTGCAGCGTACATGATGTGAAACCCTCCACACTTGCAAGCAGCAAGCTCCAGCAAGCGTCCGTGGCATCCTCAACTGTCTGAATCTCGCCGAGTTGTCCGCTGTGAAGCCCTGCTCCCCCCCCCCTGCTGCTGATTAACACAGCCACCTGACGTCCGCCTCCGCCGCCGCCAGGTAACGTGGACAACGCGTTCGCGGTGGACTCGGTGCTGGGCACCATCTCGGTGGCCATCGGGCTGGACCAGCGGCGCGCCAGCGAGTACATCCTAACGGTGCGCGCCAGCGACGCCGGCCGGCCGCCGCTGCACGGCGACGTCCACGTCAACGTACTCGTCACGCTGCCCGACAACGCGCCGCCCCGCTTCGAGAAGGTCAGTGCTCACCGCCCCGCTTCGGGCAGATCAGTGCGCACCGCCCCGCTTCGAGAAGGTCAGTGCGCGCCGACCCGCTTCGAGAAGGTCAGTGCGCGCCGACCCGCTTCGAGAAAGTCAGTGCGCACTGCCCCGATTCGAGAAGGTCAGTGCGCGCCGCCCCGCTTCGAGAAAGTCAGTGCGCACTGCCGCCGCTGCAACGGAAAGTGTGCTTCACAGGGCTGGGCTCAGCGTGGATCGTTCCGCGGTCCGGTCAGCCGGGGGGGGGGGGGGGGGGGAGGGGAGGGGCAAATGACTGTGCGAACTGAAGCAGCTTTTGACGGTCTTCGGCTTCGTAAAGGGAATGTACTGTCGACGCTTGGCACATGACTGGGAAGTACATCTGTTACATTTGATTGACTGCTTCACCTGCGAGCGGCATAGGTCTTCGGTCCAATTTTTTATCTATCGAATTGATAAGTGCGCTCCCATCACAGCAATGAAAGGTGGCCCGCAGTGGTCGTGACTGACAACGGCATTGATGTGCGCAAGTTATGGAGGAGGATTGGTGAGCCCTGCCTCGCCCATTACGTTCCCGGAAACCATAAAGAGAGTCAATATGCGGCAAACAACACGCACGGCGGGCAGAAAAATACCGAGCCCGTTCTCTTGCGCGCCTGCTTCCTTATAAGAGATGTTTTTCTGCAGCGTGGCTTGATTATTCCATTAGCTGAAGAGTTCGAAACCGTGTCTAAAAGCGTTGCGAAAAGAGTATTTCTAAGGCAAAATGTCACATTTCGCTTTGTTGTGGACTAACGACGAGCTCTTTGAAACATAATAGCCTGTCATAACAGCGGGCTGTACCTGAAAAATTGCCTGTGAGGGCTTCCGGACTTTTGCTCGCAAGAATAGAACGGAAAGCTCTGAGCGACGATATGTGCAGTGATGCATCTGCGCAAAGGGCCGGAGGTATTGTGTTAATGCCGTATTAGCAATGGAAATTGCCTTAACGAGTGGAGGCTAAATCGAAGCGAGAGAACCATTCAGGGATGCGCTTGCTGTGGATGTCTGTACTGTTACCGGCAAAGTGCGGATCTGAGGCGGACCAGGGGACCCCGGGCGCTGACGTGTTGTCCGTGTCCACTGCTGCAGGCAGAGTACGGCGCTGAGGTGGAGGAGGACAGGCCTCCGGGCTCCCACGTGCTGGACGTGGTGGCCCACTGCCGGACTTCAGTGACCTACCGTCTGGTGGGAGGCAATGAGGACGGCTCGTTCCTGCTGAACCCTGGCGCTGGGGTGCTCACCGTCAGCGAGAGACTCGACTACGAGCGCCGCACCTGGTACAACCTGTCCATACAAGCCGTCAGCATGGTGAGAGTTCGCGTGACTACGAGCGCTGCACCTGGTACAACCTGTCCGTACAGACCGTCAGCATGGCGAGAACTTCGTTGGCGGTTTCGGAATTCCAAGTCCCAACGCTCGTTGGCACTAAGCTCCCTGCAAGGATAAGCTGACGGAAGTTCCCAGACGTGCCAACGTTATTGTCAAGTGCGGGGGCTAGTTATGTCGACCGACATCATATATTGATATCCCGATGACTTTTAAATGGCATTTGCTGCCCCATGTGTAGGAACATCATTTCCACACTGACTCAAGTTGTGTTATCTCCACAAACGGGTGAAAAACCCTAATCATGTGCCGGTAAGCAGTGGCCTCCAACGCACATCTCACTTGTGACCATCTCCTCCGCCGGATGAGGTGGCCCACACGAGCGGCATTATAACCAGGTCTGATCCCGTCTGACCTGTGTGCCGTCCCTTCCAGATGGGTGAGGTGGCCCTCAAGAGTGTCATCATGCCCTGACCTCTAACTGACCCCGGCTGACCTGTGTACCGTCCCCTCCACACGAGCGTCATCATACCCTGACCTCTAACTGACCCCGGCTGACCCGTGTGCCGTCCCCTCCACACGAGCGTCATCATACCCTGACCTCCAACTGACCCCGGCTGACCTGTGTACCGTTCCCTCCACACGAGCGTCATCATACCCTGACCTCTAACTGACCCCGGCTGACCTGTGTACCGTCCCCTCCACACGAGCGTCATCATACCCTGACCTCTAACTGACCCCGGCTGACCCGTGTGCCGTCCCCTCCAGGTGGGCGAGGTGGCCCACACGAACGTCATCATACCCTGACCTCTAACTGACCCCGGCTGACCTGTGTGCCGTCCCCTCCAGGTGGGCGAGGTGGCCCACACGAGCGTCATCGTGCACGTGCTGGACGTGAACGACAACCGTCCGCGGCTGGCGCGGCCACGTTACGCCGGCCGGGTGCGCGAGTCGGCGCCGGTCGGCTCGGCCGTGCTGGCCGACGACGGCCGGCCGCTGGTGGTGGCCGCTGTGGACCTGGACGACAACAGCAACGGCCGGCTGCTGTTCAGCATCGTGGAGACGGCCGCCCGCCAGCACCTGCAGATCGACCCCGACTCCGGTGAGAGTGGCCGGAGTGTGCCGGCGGTGCGAGGCAACTGAACACTGTCGCGGCTCATGTGCTGGTTTGGAGTCTGTGTCCGGCCTCGGGCTGTACCGGCGCCGTCCGCTAACGCGTGTGCTGCACAGGTGCTCTGAGGACGGCCGGCGCGCTGGACCACGAGAGCCGGTCCCAGCTGGAGTTCACGGTGGACGTCTGGGACCGCGGTCAGCCTCGTCTGCAGGCGGCCAGGCCGGCCCGCGTCACCGTCGCCGTGCTCGACGTCAACGATGAGCCGCCCCGTTTCGCGCACGCGCAGTACAACTTCACCGTGCTGACGCCCAGCTACGACGGCGTGGAGGTCGGCACCGTGCAGGCCCCCGACCCGGACACGCAGAACATCAGGTAACAATGCAGGCCTCCGACCCGGACACGCAGAACATCAGGTAACAGTGCAGGCCTCCGACCCGGACACGCAGAACACCAGGTAACAGTGCAGGCCTCCGACTCGGACACGCAGAACATCAGGTAACAGTGCAGGCCTCCGACCCGGACACGCAGAACATCAGGTAGCAGTGCAGGCCTCCGACCCGGACACGCAGAACATCAGGTAACAGTGCAGGCCTCCGACCCGGACGCGCAGAGCATCAGGTAACAGCGCAGGCCTCTGGTCCGGACACGCAGAACATCAGGTAACAGTGCAGGCCTCCGACCCGGACACGCAGAACATCAGGTAACAGTGCAGGCCTCTAATCCGGACACGCAGAACATCAGGTAACAGCGTAGGCCTCTGATCCTGGTAATCGGTGCGATCGTGCTCGAGTCTGGGCGCTGAGAACGTTTGCATCGTACACAACCAGACACCGTATTCGTGTTTTCGTTGTTGAACGGGCGAGCACGATTTGGTTTCGTGGCTTCAGCGACTCGCTGATCCTTGGGCGCAAAATGACCACTGCAGTCGACGCGCCCGAAAACACCAATGAACAACAAAATAACGACTCGCTGATCCCGTACGGGACCTGCTGCTGGACAACAAATCGGTCTCCAAAAGCTGTTTTGCACAACGTAATGAATGCGTTGCTGTCACGCACTCTGTCATTGTCTGAGAATCGTTTCTTCAATTTGAGCGACAAGCGGTGGCGTGGTTTCGTAAAATTAGTTGTGGGACTGGTCAGTAAAAACGGACGGCGCCTACCCCAAAAACTACGCCAACGAACGACCGACTTAGCCCATTTTCTTCTCAAAGTTGGGGGTGGGATATCTGGACCCCCTCTCATACTACTGAATAAGAAAGGGCACCACCGGTGAGAAGTGTTCGTGCATCTCCCAGCTCAGGGTGCGGTTAACGCTCTGTCACTCCCTGGCCATTTTTTGGACGCCTCGTCGTGTCCCCAGCTTCCCTCTGCCTGTCAACAGCCAACAGTCCCAGGCACCCACTGGCTCCTCCCTGTTCCCAGCTACTCGCTGGCCCTCTTCCTCGTTCCCAGCTACTCGCTGACCCTCTGTCCCGTCCCCAACTACTCGCTAACTCCTTGCCCTGCCACCAGCTGCTCGCTGACCCTCTGCCCCGTCCCCAGCTACTCGCTGACTCCTTGCCCTGTCACCAGCTGCTCGCTGACCCTCTGCCCCGTCCCCAGCTACTCGCTGACGGGCGCCGACGCGGCGCTGTTCTCGCTGGCCGCCGACACGGGCTCGCTGCGCCTGCTGCGCGGTGAGACGGTGCCGCCGCTGGCCAACGTGACCGTGCACGCGTCGGACGGGCCGCACCGCGCCGCCGCCCTGGTGCTGGTGCGCAGCCGCCAGGTGGCCAGTCGTGGCCTGGTGTTCTCCAGCGACCAGTTCTACGGCACCGTGCGCGAGAACACGACTCGCGTCGACATCGTGGCCTCGCTGTCCGTGCGGGGCAACCAGCTGATGGAGCACCTCGCCTTCCGCATCCTCAACCCCTCCGAGTACTTCGTGAGTGATGGCGCGAGGTGGTGGTGGTCCGAGCATTTGGTATAGCCGACGGCTTTTAGTGGGTGTCGTGTCCAGTGTGTATGTCCAGGGTGGACGCTGCTGGTCCGTATATCTCGCTGGAGGCGATGTCTCCTGGCCTTGCGACACATTGGCAAAACGTGGCTACTAACATCGACCCTGTAGGCTTATGCGGTGCGACGTAGTAGCGCTTGTAAATGCTGTCGACGTTTGTGGGTTCTGGAAGGTGCTTATTGGAATCAAGTTTCTGCTCATCTGAGCATAAAGCCGACAAGCACTGATTAGTCGTTCGTTCCGGGGTAACGAAGTCCTTGTCTATAAGATGCTGGCTCTCTGGCGTTGCCTCTGAACATTATATGATGCCTATTGTCGGGGGCTTTTCGACGCCGGACAACTGGGGTAAATGATCCAAGGGGCGCCGTTTTAAACGTCGCTGATGCCGCAAAACAACTCTTGAAGCGCCCGGTGTGAGGTATGGGTGGTGTTTGGACAGAGCTAACTTGCACATCCGAGCAGATCATTCGCCAAGGTTTTACATTTATGTGAAGCATTACGACGCTGTTCTGCACCGCCACCACACCGGGCTCATAGACTCCTCACTGCACTCTTATGCCCGCACCGTTCAGTGGCCTGCCCTGAGCATGACTTGGTTGGGAACTGTGTGTCGACGTTTTATTATCGTTACGATCCCATTCATCCCATTAGCCTGTGCGGCCTCAGTTTTGCGCTTTGGTTGATAACGGCTTTACAGCCGGCTACTGCAGAATATTAACCAGCTGAATCCTCGAACGCTGAATATGTTTTCGTAGTCGTGACGCGGAATCTGACTGACTCGCCATAGTTACCACTGGCTTTGGCGGGAAAATCTCCCGCGAATTGTACTGGCGGGTTCCATGGCTTCAAGGTCAAATTGTCCGCCGTTCTGGGAGGAGCGTTTCTGATGGGTCGAAGCGCTCCGTGGTCAGTCCATTCTGTGCTATCTGCTTTTCCAATAACGGTGGCTTTCATCTAGTCTGATAGCATATTAACGAGTCAGCTCCGCCTATACAGTTGTATGGACAGCCTTTGAACCAGTCCATCCCACCGTGTAACAAGACGGCGGGCGCTGTTCGGAACCGTCTCTCTGTGAGTGATCCTCTTGTGACGGTGTCCCCCACAGAGCATCAGCGAGACGGCTGGCGTGGTGCGCACCACGGGTGTGGCGCTGGACCGGGAGCAGCAGGAGCAGCACGTGCTGGCCGTAGAGGTGCGCAGCGACAGGGACGGCCGGGTGGCGCACACGCTGCTGCACGTGACCGTCATGGACGACAACGACAACCGGCCCGTGTTCGTCAACCAGCCGTATCACGCCGTCGTGCCTGTCGAGGCCACCGTCGGAGCTCCAGTCACCAAGGTGAGAACACTGAGCAGGAGCTGTCTGGTTACTACTGGTCGGAGCCCCAGTCACCAAGGTGAGAACACGGAGCAGGGGCTGGCTGGTTACTACCGGTCGGAGCTCCGGTCACCAAGGTTAGAACACTGAGTGAGGCTGGCCTGTTATTACTGGTCGAAGCTCCGGTCACCAAGGTGAGAACACTGAGCAGGGGCTGGCTTGTTGCTACTGGTCGAAGATCCGGTCACCAAGAGGAGAACACTGAGCAGGGACTGCCTGGTTCCTACTGGTCGGGGCTCCGGTCATCAATGTGAGAACACTGAGCAGGGACTGGCTGGTTACTACTATTCGGAACTCCGGTCACCAAGGTGAGAACACTGAACAGGGGCTGGTTGGTTACTACTGGTTGGAGTTCCGGTCACCAAGGGGAGAGCAGTGAGCACGGGCTGGCCTGTTCCTACTGGTCAGAACTCCGGCCACCAGCGTGAGAACACTGATGAGGGGCGGGCTTAATGCAATGCAAATGTAATAATGTCACCCGTAAATAGCATGCCGTTACGCGCGATGCCGTGATATGACGCGACATTTGGCGCGTCACTCCCCGCCGTCGTGCGCCACTCTGTGACGCGCCGGGGTCGCAGGTGACGGCGATCGACGCTGACCTGGGCGACAACGGCCGGGTACACTATGACCTGCTGCGGGGCAACGGTGACCTGTTCGCGGTGGACCTGCTGAGCGGGGCTGTGACGCTGCGCCGCTCGCCGCGCGGCCTCGACACCGCCTTCAGGCTGGTCGTCACTGCTTACGATGGAGGTGGGTGGTGACGGGATGGCATCCTTGTTCGGCCGCTGCGCCCGTGGCGGGGTGTGCGGCACAATGGTATGTTGTGGTTGGCTGGCTTAGCTACACGTGCCGTGATATGGGCCATTGTTTTACAATTAGATTCAGTGGCGCCTTCGCCGTCTTACTAGGCTGGGCCAGCAGTCTAGTTCAGCGTTAGAGGCAATAGAGGTTGGTTTAGGTAGGAAGTGAGTCTCAGGTCGAAGCGCAAGCCTGCAAGCTTAGGGTGAATCCCATGTATTATGAGCCTATTTTGATATTTTTTAGTTGATGCTCTTGTTCTTCGTAACATTTGCAATCGTTGCTGAAATACGAATTTTGCGCTCAAAAGAGCGAATCACATGGACATGCTTCAGCACAAATGTGATGTCTTTAGCCGTGCCACTGTGTCGCAGACTGAAGTTGATGGTCGGACCTATTCAATATTCAGCTCGGTCGTCATCTGATTGTGTGCGCCGTTTGCGGCGCTGATTGATTCATGGGGAATCCCAGCTGCCTTGGCTGGAAAGCGCTGCCATTTGTCACTGGATGGGGACTGCATTAGCCGGCTTTGATTTATCGGAGTCGACAAACGCGCCACCCGTATCCCGGCTGCTGTTGAACCACTGACGTGCCCCAATATTTCAGTCTGACTGCTTATCGACCCCCGTGCGCCATTGTAGTCGCCTTGTGCCGACTCAACGTTTGTTTCGAGGGGCTTGTACTCTACGCTTGCGGCGTGTGGTCCGTTTACGCCGGCGGGTTTTACGAGCGGCTGACGCGTATCGAGCAAAGCGTCATATCAGGCGACGCTGTGAGAAATATGATGCAGAGGTGGACATATCATACAGTCCACAGGGTGCTCAATTGTGATCCAAGATGCTTTGCTCGTCGCCATGTCAGGCATGCGTCAAATCGAACTGTACGCTGACATTGTCTGAAATGATAAGACAGGCGAGAAAGCTTCAGTGGTTAGATCACGGCTAAAGAGAGCGTTCCACATTTCTATGAGGCTTTGAACTGAACTAGCTATCCTGAGAGGTCATTAGGTGCATTTCACAGCCCTGCCCTTTTGAAGACCTAAATCTAATCTAAAACCTAGTTTCTGAGCTACACGCCCGCGATTACGGGGGAGAATATTTCAAATGGAAGAAAAGAAAGTGGAGACCTTGAAATACCCTCCACTTTCGGGGAGAGTATTTCGAGGTTACAGGTATCCATGATGTCATAAGAACGTCATTCAAATTATGCCATTCCATATGTCATGTGGTGATCAATGCCAAGAAAGCTATAACGGTCCAGCCATTCATATGTAGCGTTCGGGAGCACGATTTTCAGATATAGCGGCCGTCAATTGGCTCTCAGTCAGTGTTGTGCGAGGTATGATAATGTCATCAAACAATGACGTATCGAGGAACATATTTACTAATCAGAACTTGTGCTGCGGTGAGTAGTCACATCTGTTTAAAAGTGTACCAATAGTTCTAAGTGACCGTGTTGTATCATATCTGATGTTCGTTTCAGTATCTTCAAACATGAAACATACCTTCAAACGTCTACAAATATGATGCAGAGGCTGCGTGCTAAGCATTCAAACATGCAGCCATAGTTCCTAGGGCTCCTCAGCTCAGAAAGAATGCCCAGCATGACCATACGGGGGCTGAACGAAGAAAACCTTTCTCGTGTGCAGCGGCGGTAGCTGTCGACAAGTATGACGCATTCAGCAGATAGGAGCCGTCGACCGATGCGCGGTTACAGCATGGGCCAGTGCGCGTGTCCGACGCCCGTAAAACACATTGAGAACACTGTCGATGTGGCGGATTGTCGTTCGGTGCGTTCTGCTGCGTGGTAGAAGCAGGGCAGATGCCAGGCTGAGCCGCCATGGCCATCCAGAACTCAGCGCTGGGAAGGTTATTCTCTGCTGATTTGATTCAGGTTAGATGGTGTAAATTGAGGCTAAATTGTGCAACCTTTAGCTCGGCTCCACGACTTCTTGATGCGGTATGACATACAGAGCTCCGGTTGTGACGGTGGTTGTTCTTTCGACAAGCTTTCCTCCCCTCTCCTCGGAGGCGGAGGTGCTGGTGACACTGTGTCCGTCTCTGTGACAGGCTCTCCTTCCCTCTCCTCGGAGGTGCCGCTGGTAACGCTGTCCGTCTCTGCGACATGCTCTCCCCCCATCTCCTTGGAGGTACCGCTGGTGACACTGTGTGTCCGTCTCTGTGACAGGCCCCCGTCCCCTCCCCTCTCCTCGGAGATATCGCTGGTGACACTGTGTGTCCGTCTCTGCGACATGCTCTTCTTCCCTCTCCTCGGAGGTACCGCTGATGACACTGTATGTCCATCTCTGTGACAGGTACCACGCCCCTCCCCTCTCCCCATAGGTGCCGCTGTTGACGATGTGTGTCTATCTCTGTGGCAGGCTCTCGTCCTCTCTCCTTGGAGGTACCGCTGGTAACACTGTCCGTCTCTGTGGCAGGCTCCCCTCCCCTCCCCTCGGAGATACCGCTGGTAACACTGTGTGTCCGTCTCTGTGGCAGGCTCCCCTCCCCTCTCCTCGGAGGCGGAGGTACTGGTGACAACCGTGGACGGCAGTCAGCCCCGCTTCTCCCAGCCGCACTACTGGGCCCACGTGGCCGAGTCGGCCGAGCGGCGCACGCCCGTGCTGACGCTGGAGGCGGCCGCCCCGTCGGCCTCCAGCCTGGTGTTCCAGCTCACAGAGCCGGCCGTCGACTCCATGTTCGCCGTAGACTTCACCACCGGTGTGTATCGGACAGGCACATACATGGCCGCCTGAAAAGGCCGGCACACACCGCTGGTGCCTTTTGAAGTACTTTGGGTTAGTTGAGGTGTTGTGACAGAGCGTTTGTCGTAGTTCCGAAACTGTCGAGCCCATCAGGAGGATACGCGTCACCAGTGTCTGGAAAGTCACCACCCGGGGAAGTTGGCCAGACCCGTCCTGGGCAAACTGCAAGAGTATCGACTCATGCGCGATGCCGCAGGCGTTCTGTACGTGGCTGGTGAGCTGGACTACGAGACCCGGCCGCGCTACAAGCTGACGGTGTCGGCCACGGACCGGGTCACGGGGTCAATGACCTCTGTGCCGGTCACGGTGAACGTCACGGACGTCAACGACAACGCGCCTCAGTTCGAGCGGTCGGTTTACAACGTGACGGCCAGCGAGGCGGCCCACCCCGGCCTGAAGCTGCTGCACGTGAAGGTCACGGACCGGGACCAGGGTGAGGACCACTGACCAGGGAAGGGATCACGGACTGCGATAGGGATGAGGACCACTGACCAAGGGAAGGGATCACGGATCGGGACCAGGGTGAGGACCACCGACATAGGGAATGGTCTTGGACCGGGACCAGGGTGAGGACCACCGATTAAGGGAAGGGATCTTGGACTGTGTTAGGGGTGGGGACCAGCAACCAATGGAAGGTTTGCTCACATTGTTTTCGTATCTTTGTCGCATAGATTATTTGCGGGACCGTAGGAAAGCGGACAGGAACTGCTGCGAGACCTGTCAACCCAAATGTTTCATTCAACAGCTCCATTCTTGTAAATGGCTGAGCCGTACAGGCCTGCCATACCAAATATTTGATAAGAATACTCCATTTAAATTAATGACTGAACCTTGCAGGTAGTTTCGAACTCATTACGCTCCCACGTGCTGTTCTTAATCTACATTGCTGAAGCTCAGTAGTCCAATAGGTCGGTCAGAATGTGCTGGTGAATAAGAAGCCTCCGTCGCTGGGCGGGCAATGTAATCAGGGGTTCGGTGTCTGGACACAATCGATCAGTCTCGGGTGGCTGGGCGGCGGCCCGGCCCTGAACGGCGGCTCCGTCCAACGGACAATGTGTCAAACAAGACCGGGCTCCTGCCAAAGGGTGTTTCTGATTGGATGTGAAGCGTTGGCCAAGATGAGTGGTGATGATAAAAGCGTGCCTTTCGTCGTAAGTGTACGTCATTAGCAGGAGCTGTGTTTTATGGTGTTACGTCCGCACCTCTTAACTGTGTCTGGCAACCCGTGTTTCTAAATGCTGAACTCCAGAAAGACACCTCGTGCTGTGTCTTGTGCTGCCCACGCGCGTATATATGTGCTTTGACGATGCCGCGTGTGCTCGCCTGATGGTAACCGCGCCTGTGTTTGTCGTCCAGAGGACGACCAGCCGCTAAGCTTCCGTGTCCAGGAGGCGGACGGCTCGGAGAGCTTCCTGTTCCACATGACGTCCGACGGCTCCCTGGCCGTCACCAGCTACCTGGACTTCGAGCAGCGGCCGCTGCACCAGCTGGTGATGACCGTCTCCGACGACGGCTCGCCGCCGCTCACTGGCACCGCGCTGCTCACCGTCAACGGTGAGAACACGCCGCTCTCCCGACACGGGGTGACGTCACTGGCCGGCGGCGTTCGGTGCTCACCGTCAACGGTGAGAACACGCCGCTCTCCCGACACGGGGTGACGTCACGGGCCGGCAGCGTTCGGTGCGAGCTGTCGTCTTCGCCGCCAGCAGCTGTTAGTGCGGCGCACGGTGGCAGTGCTCTCTGAGCATTGTCTCGCTGTTAACGTCGCGGAACTCCGTACAAGTCTTCATTCTTGGGATGCATCAACCACCTCATTGTTGCAAAACACTGCGTCCACCGTCGTCTTTTTGTAGTAACTGAAGCCAAGGTCGACAGTAACTGTCGAGGGCGCCGAACGCAGCTGCCACCGACCAACTGTTGGTCGGTGGCGCTGCGTTCGTCGTCGACAGTTGGTTTTAAGGCGGTGATCATCATTAGTAGGTTTCGTGGTACTGGTCATTAGAGGTTCATCTTCAACCGGCCGGCGGCGGGTCCCACAGTGCTCATGTCCGAGACATGATAGTTGTAAATTACTTCATCTGAGCGTGAAGCGCGTAAGTCAAGATCAGTTGGATCGAAGTCTTAGCGGTCTGTACACTGTTGTTCCGTGCTGTGCTGTTGGTCTTTAATTGATAGGTTACTGTCGGCTCGACAAAACGGTGGTTAGTCTTGCCCTGGCTACAGGCCGCGTTGAAGATGCCCGTGTAATACGCCGAACAGCGTGCGTCAGAACATTCGCGAGGGCGAGACACTGGATGTGACTGTTGGCCGAAGTGAGCCGGTTGTAGTGGACCTCGTGATCGCGCACGTCCGCGAGATCCGGATGGTTGATGGGCCGTCAGAGTGGACTTCTGCACGGAGGTCCGGCTCGGAGAATGAATCTCCGATGGCCATAGTGGGCTGCTGACTGGTCTGGGACCTAGTTTTGTTCCCGACGCCACTTCACGGAATCAGTCGATAGTCAGAGTAGCCAGAATGACGCGCTGCCGGACCTGTGTCTCGCGACGGCTGACTGACAAAGTTAGACGGCCGGGCTCGGCGAACTTCTCTCGTCGGAGGCAGCAGGCCGGGCTGGACCAGCGGCCGGACAAAAATCCTCCGGCTCAGGTCGGCCCCGGCGGAATAGTGGCACACCTGGTGCCCCTGACCATATTGAATATGTCACGGCGGATGCAATGACGTCCCGAGGCGCGGACCATGCGCAGGTCGTCACACGTGGTTTGTGAGCAGTGGCTTGGGGGTGTGTGCCGGCTAGCCCTTGATAGCTCCATAGCGGTCCCCGTGGCCACCCGCCACCCGCCACCCGCCACGCGCCACGCACCATGCACTATGCACTATGCACTACGCACCACGCGCCACTCGCCACGCACCACACGCCACCCGCCACGCGCCACGCGCCACGCGCCACACGCCACACGCCACATGCCACATGCCACACGCCACACGCCACACGCCACACGCCACATGCCACACGCCACATGCCACACGCCACACGTCACATGCCACCTGCGACAGAGCCGTCGCATTGGCGAAGTCTGCTTGACTTTACCTCTCATCGCGATAGGAGCTATATATTGGGCGCTAGGCGGCCACAATGGGGGCGCTATAATGTCCAAATGCCAGGCCGTTCTGCTTTTGTCTACCAGAGCACCGGTGATCCGCAGCCCATCGCCCGTGCGGGGGTGATAGCGATCTGAGATCGGTCTCATTTGTCCCATGCACACGTTACACAGCCCATTCACGCACTGACCGGCCCCGCTCCGGAACAGACTGTCCACGACCAACGGCGCTGCTAGAAACCGAGAGCACCTGGGGATACGCTGACGCGTGGGTGACCCGCGTGTTTCTTCGGCGTTGAGCATGTCCACCATGCGGCTGTTGCTGGAATCAAATCACACATTCATCGTCCCGCCCGTATTGTTGTTACATGAACTTCAGTGGCTTACCCGGGCGTCCTGGTGTCTGCCTGTTGACAGTGGAGGACGTGAACGACAACGTGCCGGTGTTCGACCGGGCCAGCTACGCGTGCGAGCTGACGGAGCTGCCGTCTCGGGGGCAGTTTGTCACCATGGTGAAGGCGCACGACCCGGACCCCACCGACCAGCTCGTCTACCGCATCGCTGACGGCAACGACCGCCAGCTGTTCTACATCAACAGGCGCACAGGTAAATGGCAGGGGCAGTGCAGTCACGGGCGCGCAGGTAAATGGCAGGGACAGCACAGTCACGGGCGCACAGGTTAGTGGCAGGGACAGTACAGTCACGAGCGCACAGGTGGATGACAGGGACAGTATAGCCACGGGCGCACAGGTAAATGGCAGGGACAGTATAGCCACGGGCGCACAGGTTAGTGGCAGGGACAGTGCAGTCACGAGCGCACTGGTAAATGACAGGGACAGTATAGCCACGGGCGCACAGGTAACTGGCAGGGACAGTACAGTCACGTTCGCACAGGTAAATGGCTGCGACAGTACAGTCACGGGTGCACAGGTAACTGGCAGGGACAGTACAGTGACAGGCGCACAGGTAAATGGCAGGGACAGTACAGTCACGGGCACACTGGTAAATGGCAGGGACAGTACAGTCACGGGCGCACAGGCAGAGGCAGGCTCACTATATGGGCTGCGCTCAGGTAGGCGGCAGACTCACTATATCGACCAGTGTTCAGGAAGGCGTTAGGTTCACAGCACCGGTGGCTGTCCGAGAAGGCGGCAGGTTCACATTACCGGCAGGTACGCAGATAGGCGACAGGTACTCCGTCTCCAAGTCTGGCCCTAGCAAACTCACGGGGTTTAGAGCAAATCCAATGAAGCGATGTCACTCAGGAGGGAATGGAACAGCGCCGGTCGCGGAGAAGCTGGACGTAGCATTCAAAGACGGTAGGCGAGGATCCAAGGCGCGGTCTGCACAGTGTCGGGCCGTGACCGGTCTCATCCCACAATGTGAACGCCCAATGCCGGCTTGTGGCGCAGTACCTTGTATTAGTATTAGGTGTGTCATTCGCTCATATTAGCTGGCGGTGACGGCGGCGATTAATTTAATTATCTTGTTACGAGTCAGCGGTACCTGCACCGCCTGAGATTTCCTCCTTGGCTGGTGCTCTGTCGCGTGCAAGTCCAGAGACTCTAGCTCTCTTCGCATGTCACTGAGTGTCGCTTTCCGTGCGGCCTAGTGAGGTAGACACAAACCCCTGTGGTGTTCAGAGCGGGAGGGGCAGCTCGGTTTCAGAGCTTCAAACGCAGCCGCGTCAATGACAGAATGGTAGAGCGGTTCGTCGTTTGATTAATTGCGCTGAATTCCCCGAGAGCACCTCCATCGAACTCGACACGATGCCGTCCGGTGGAGTAATGGCCGCAGCGGTGTTCTCAGTCCAGTGCGATGGCGCATTGGGTGGCTCCGTGGATGGGTTCACTCATCCGCGTAACTGCTGGAAGTTGATTGACGCATTATCCACGCGCCATGTGACCAGCGTAGTCGGGGCGCCCCAAAGCCCAAATCATCATCATCATCGACGCAGTATCCACGGAGTCAGATGCGAGTAAACGCTGCACCTGTACCTCCCTGGTGCACCCTGGCGCACCCTGCACCTCCGTTGGTGTATTTGCCTGATTGCACGTCGGCCGTCTTATCACAGCCACATGATATTATTCTGTACAAAGCCAGTTACGGTGAGCGGCGGTGATCCGTGCTGGACTCAATCTCTTGAGGCATGCCGATGCCGATACAGCAATACGACCGCTGGACACTGTCGGTCGAAGCTCAGAGCTGTGTGCTAACACGTTCTGAATACGGTACAACACTTTCGGTAAGACAGGTTAAAATACATGGGCGAGGATCCATAAACTTGGACGATGCTTTCTTACGACTTGAAGGAACCGTGTGGCAAAGGGATATTGGGCGAGTTATGAAGCGTGCTGGACCCAGTCTGTACCACCGTGGTGGGGCGGGGAGCAGCGGGCTGGGTTTGGCAATGACTCGAGAGTGCGCTGTTCACGGCTCTCTCAACACTGCCCTGCCTGCTGAGGGTGGCTCGCAGGTCGGGCCTCGGAGGATGTGGGTCGGTGCCGCCGCGGTGCCGACGGTGACTGACGCGTCACGTTTGTCTCGGCGCCGCGGCTGTGACGGCTCCTCCGTATAACGCCCGAGATGAATGCCCGCTTGCCGTAATGCGGACCACAGCTGGCTGATGGCTGCCATCAGCGAGCGGACCGTGACCCTCCTCCGTACCGGTGCCGTGTGAGGGGAACGTGACGCGTCACTCTGTGTCCTGCCATCAGCGTGTAAACCGTGACCCTCCTCCGTACCGGTGCCGTGTGAGGGGAACGTGACGCGTCACTCTGTGTCCTGCCATCAGCGTGCGGACCGTGACCCTCCTCCGTACCGGTGCCGTGTGAGGGGAATGTGACGCGTCACTCCGTGTCTTGCCATCAGCGTGCAGACCGTGACCCTCCTCCGTACCGGTGCCGTGTGAGGGGAACGTGACGCGTCACTCTGTGTCCTGCCATCAGCGTGCGGACCGTGACCCTCCTCCGTACCGGTGCCGTGTGAGGGGAATGTGACGCGTCACTCTGTGCCTCCCGCAGGCGTCATCACGGTGGCCAATATCCGGGCGTTCGATGAGTCGCCCCAGTACCAGCTGAACATAACCGCCGCCGACGGTATTCACCACACCTACGTGCCCCTGACGGTCCGACTGATGCCCGCTAACAAGGTGACTGCCGCTCAGAAGCGCCCCTGCAACAACATTGTATCACACGTGCAATATGATGACAGCGGTGCTGCTGGTTGGCCGAGATAATGTCGCGGGCCGTCAGTTTAGTGTGTGCCGTGGAAGGCCGTGCTTGAAGGGTCTTGCATCAAGTTGTCATCGATTGAACGCGCCGGCGTGTTGTCTCAACATAGACCCGCCACGCACTGGAATGTTCTTCCCTTCCAGCATGCGCCCGCATTCGAAAAGGTCGCCTACGAGGTGGACCTGAGTGAAGACGTGGCCAGCGGCACTCCGGTGACCCAGGTCAAGGCGTATGACCCAGACAGGGGTCCCCTGGGTCAGGTGGTGTACAGCATTCCCTCCGATCGATGGAGAGAAGTATTCAGCATCAACGCTTCAACCGGTGAGTGGCTGTCATCCTTCCGTTAGAAGGTCCTGTCACAGATTTCCGATATCACGTCTGGTCATTTTTAGGGAATGTAGTTCTCAAGAGGAATCGAACACCTTTATTTGCATTGCAATCGTTCCGGATGTTTTCGAAAGCTCTGGGGCATGGCGGAACCCACCCGCTGCTCGGAATGGGGTTAACGGAGAGCACGACCGGAATAAGGAGTAATTGGCTACTTCCATAGGTTGCGAGACAGCCCGGTGCTGAAGCTTCCCGTCTGGACTGGTGCTGTGTTATGTACAGGCGTGATCAGCACCCCTCAGCGGCTTGACCGTGAGATGGAGCCGGTGCTGGAGCTGCCCGTGTGAACTGGTGCTGTGTTGTGTACAGGCGTGATCAGCACCCGTCAGCGGCTGGACCGTGAGACGGAGCCGGTGCTGGAGCTGCCGGTGTAAACTGGTGCTGTGTTGTGTACAGGTGTGATCAGCACCCGCCAGCCACTGGACCGTGAGACAGAGCCGGTGCTGGAGCTGCCCGTGTGAACTGGTGCTGTGTTGCGTACAGGCGTGATCAGCACCCGTCAGCGGCTGGACCGTGAGACGGTGCCGGTGCTGGAGCTGCCCGTGTGGGCCACGGACGGTGGTCACCGGTCTGATCACACCACAGTCAAGGTCCGGCTGTCGGACGTCAACGACAACGCGCCCCGCTTCCAGCTGGCTCAGTACCGGGCCGTCGTGGCGGCCAACCTCACGGCCGGAGACGTCGTCTGCAAGGTGAGCATGAGCCTGCCGCCGGTTGAATGTCAGCTGCCGGTACAAGGTGATCATGAGCCTGTCCCCCGGCTGGACGTGTGTCGGCGCCCAGTGCAAGGTGATCATGAGCCTGTCCCCCGGCTGGACGTGTGTCAGCGGCCGGTACAAGGTGAGCCTGAGCCTGTCCCCGGCTGGACGTGTGTCGGCGCCCAGTGCAAGGTGAGCCTGAGCCTGTCCCCGGCTGGACGTGTGTCAGCGGCCAGTATAAGGTGAGTCTGAGCCTGTCCCCGGCTGGACGTGTGTCGGCGGCGGTGGACCGTGCTGACACTGAGGTGTTGGACCGTTCTGTCACCTGTGGCTCGTGTGTCTAGCGATCGGCCAATGACCTCACGGGTACCATGTCGCTCGCCACCGCCATGGCCAAGAAGTTCACTATGACCATGTATTTTGCGACCGTGGTGGTCGGGTGTGACTTGTTTCTTGTATTTTCATTGGTCGGCGGTCCGCCAGGTGACGGCGTACGACTCGGACGAAGGAGACAACGCCAGGCTCACGTACAGCATCTTCGAGACGGAGGTGTCGGACATCAGGAAGGCCTTGGATATCGATTCGGAGACGGGAGAGATCATTCTGATGCAGCGACCAACTCAGCTGGGTGAGCCGGTTCACCTGCTGGTTGAAGCCGCAGCTAGAGCTTTGGTTGGGAACTGTCTTTTCGTGTTTTACTCAAGAACTGTTGCGGACGTTGTCCATACTCAGCTGAGTGGGTTGGAATGTTGCATGTTTAAGCACGCCTGCGCTGTCTTCGATCAGACAAAAAGCATTTCTCGCTAACCGGTCCTCGTTGCGCGGCGTAGCTGGTGACCGGTGGCGCCTCTGTTGGCAGAGAGTCCGGTGTACCAGTTGTTCGTGCGAGCGACAGATGGCGGCAGTGAGCGGCTGGTGGCCGACGTCCCAGTGGACGTGGTCGTGTTGCCAGACAGCGAGGGCATGCCCGTGTTTGACCCGCTGCTGTCGGGGCCACAGGGCGTGTTTCTCACCGAGAGTGACCCAGTTGGTGAGTAACCGAGACCCCATGCAGACAGCAATACGATGCCTGTGTTTCACCTGTTACTGTCGGGACCACAGGGCGTGCTTCTCACTCGGAGTAACCCGATGGGTGAGTAATGCAAGCCTGCCTGAATACAGCAGACATATTAGACGTGTTTGAATACATGTTTTCTTCTAGGCAAGCCTGCCTTGCTTGAATATTTATCACCCTCTTCAGCTGTGGCTAAAGTAGCAAGTTTGACCTCTGAATGGGGCCCGTGTCGTGACAGTGTACCTGTCCCAGTGATGAATGCCCGGTTTTTCCGCAGGTACCCGCATCACGTCAGTCCGGGTCCGCGGCGGCGGTACGGTGACGTACTCGGTGGCCTCGATCCACGAGATGCCGTCAGCGGACATGTTCGAAGTGGATGCGGACGGACAGCTGGTCCTGGCCAAGAGTCTCGACCGGGAGGCCGTGGACAGGTGGGTCAAGCAGCTGCAGACTTCGGGTCCAGGGAATGGCGTTGTTGCAGCTTTTGTGGCCTCCGCTCTTGCGCATGTTCTCACTGACTTGATAATATATGTTATCACATTTCGGTTCCTTGCTCTGTGCGATATCACCGGCGCATTAAAACAGTACATTGCTCTATTGCCCGCAGTTTCACTCGACTTCGTTTTATGCGAGGCTGTACATAACTGGGACAATATCCATTCACAGTTAAAGTGTGTCACAAACTTCGTCGCCATTGTAGCCTTACGGCGCTTTCATCTGCCCATAGTAAATGGTGTCGCCCGCCTCTCATCCTGTCCTGAAAGGAGGTCACTGCGGGAAAAGAAACCTTCCACCTCTGGTTTCCCAGACGCGCAGTGGTTAACACAGGCGCATTAATCATTACACCATCGGCACTCCCTTATTGTGTGTGTAAACCGCGCTGCATTGCCGTGCCTGATGTTCTGTTCCGTTGCGTCAGGTACAACATCACGATCGCAGCTCAGACCGAGTCTCTGCCACCGCTGGTCGCCTACTCCCACCTGATGTTGTCTGTGATGGACGACAACGACAACGACCCCGTGTTTGACGCAGACGTGTACCGGGGTACCGTCAGAGAGGGTCTGCCGGCCGGTACCAGAGCTCTGCAGGGTACGTCAGAGGTGTACCGCGGTACCGTTAGAGGTAGTCTGCCGGCCGGTACCAGGGCTTTGCAAGGTACATCAGACGTGTACCGCGGTACCGTTAGAGAGGGTCTGGCGGCCGGTACCATAACTCTGCAGGGTACGTCAGAGATGTACGGGGGTATTGTTAGAGAGGGTACCGTCTTTTACCAGGTTTATCAGTTCTGTGTGGGGCTAGCTGTGTGCACCCCTCTCCATTGCATCAGTGTTGTGTGCCCGTGTGTGACCTGGCTGCGCCCGTCCCCAGTGTCGGCGGTCGACCCGGACGTGGGTGCTAACGGCCAGGTGCGCTACCAGCTGCACGCCGACTCTAGCCACCTGCACGCACTGCTGGCGGTGGACGAACGGTCTGGCTGGGTGACCACGCTGCGGCCGCTGGACCGCGAGACGACAGACACCTACCGGCTGACGGTGGTGGCCGCCGACGGAGGTAACTAGGGATACCGCACAATGCGGTCGGAACGCCACAGAGCATGCATGGAACGGGGAGTGCATTGCGGAGGCTGGTGGTGATCGTCAACTATACGATTCACTAGAGGGGGACTTGTGAGGTTGGTTTGAGACCTGTGACCTGAGTGACCTGACCCGGTGTGCCCCGCCAGGGTCGCCTCGTCGCTCGGCCACGGCCAGTCTGGTGATCTCGGTGGCCGACGACAACGACTCGCCGCCCGTGTTCGCTCAGCAGCGGTACGCGGCCGTCGTTAATGAGGACGCCCTGCCGCGCACCTCCATCATGAGCCTGACGACCGATGACGCCGACCTGCTCTCGGCGCCCGTCCACTTCTACATCACCGACGGAGACCCCCACGCCCGCTTCGAGGTCAGAGCGCGCCCGCTCAGCGGTGTCAGTGGTGGTACAGGCGCCCAGTGGCGTGTTGGTGGCGTTACAGACCCCCCTCTGGCGTGTTAGTGGCATTACAGACCCCTCTGGCGTGTTAGTGGTGGTGCATACCCCCCTCCGGCGTGTTAGTGGTGTTACAGACCCTCTCTGGCGTGTTAGTGGCGTTGCAGACTCCCTCTGGCGTGTTAGTGACGCTAGAGACCCGCTGCGGTGTGTTTGCCGCGTTATGGACACCTCACTGGCGTGTGCGCACCCTCTTTAAGCTGTGACTAACAGTGTTCAACAACTCCTCGCGTGGTAGTAAGACCCCGGCAACGTGTGGTCCTTGTGTTCTAATTGTGACGGGCTGCGCCTGGGTGATATGAAGCTCTCCGCTGGTATTGCACAAAGCCCCTAGATTGTGACGAGCGGCGTCACCAGAGATGTGACTCTCCCCCACTGACGAACGTGCACGTGGTCCCCGGACTGTGACGAGCGACGTCACCGGAGGTTTGAAAGATGTGGCTCTCCCCCACTGGCGAACATGTACATGGTCCCCAGATTGTGACGAGCGACGTTACCAGAGGTTTGAAAGATGTGGCCCTCCCTCACTGACGAACGTGCACATGGTCCCCAGATTGTGACGAGCGGCGCCAACAGCGGCGAGCTGTTCGTGTTAAACGCGTTGGACCGTGAGACCGTGCCCAGCTACGACCTGACGGTGACAGCCACCGACGGCTCTCTGGTGGCCACCACCCAGCTACACCTGGATGTGCTCGACGCCAACGGTCAGTCCCCGTCAGCGGTCGGATGTGCTGACAGCGCCTCTAAAGACACTCATCCCCGGGCATAGGCTCCGTAAATATCACTGATCAAGATTGTGTTGGGTGTCCCGCATGGTAAACGTCACAGACCCTGAAGCTCTTTGAGCTTCATGTCTAATTGTGTAACTCAACGTGCGAAGCTGGTGGTTGATGCTTGCTCCGTTGTGTTTTTAACGAAATAGGGATCAAGCTGCAGAACAGTGTGCTGGCTGTGTGGCACCGTTATAAATGCCGTTATCCTAGTCTGGTCATGTCCCGTCCTCATGTAATACAACGTGGCGGCACGTGACCAAGCCGTGCGGTGTTCCAGACAACCCACCCGTGTGTGAGGAGGAGGGGTACGCGGTCACGCTGAGCGAGGCGGCCCCTCCCCACCACGTGCTGACCGTCCGGGCTCATGACCTGGACGACAGCAGGAACGGTCGGCTCCGGTACTACCTGACCGGCGCCGGCGCCGACGACTTCGCCATCGACCCGGCCCTAGGTCAGCTGACGGCCGAGTTGTTTCCGATGACGTCATTTGTACCCGGACTGGTTGAAGGGATGGAGAAGTTGTAACTGTGGCTGTCGCTATGTGCGTTGAAGCGTCTTCTAAGTGCGTCTTGTCGTCGATGCCCTCTCACGCTTGGTTTGTCTCTTCACCATTGATGCTGCCATGCCGGCCATCAGTTAATGTTCACATAAGGTATTATAGTGTGGCCCTACGTTATGACTGTCATCTGGTCTGACTGGCGTGCGTTCTGATGTCGCACCAGGCCGCCCCGACCTGACCTGACCTGACCTGACGCCTTGTGCCGTGGCCAGGTCACGTGCGCGTGTCGGGCTCGCTGGACCGCGAGTCCCGGCCCGTCTACCGCCTGACGGCGCACGTGCAGGACCGCGGCCGCGCCGAGTGGGAGTGCACCAGCGTGCTGACGGTCACACTGGAAGACGTCAACGACTGCGCGCCCAGCTTCGTCCTGCCCGTGCTGTCGCTGACGGTGCCCGAGGACACGGCCGTCGGCACCATCCTGGGACGGCTGGACGTCCGTGATGATGACCTGGGTCAGTACAAACGTAGACCACACCATCCTGGGACGGCTGGACGTCCTTGACGATGACCTGGGGTCAGTACATACACAGACCACACCATCATGGTATGGCTGGACTGTAGTCTCATGTTGTTCTTGTGTGTTTCGGTTCAGGCCGGCCGTACTTGGTTTGATACTAGCCTGTCCCCATGCACTCTGCTTGACTTTAACCAGGCAGACTACCCCGGGTGCTGTTCTCAGGCGTGTGTACCGATCTTGGCCACAGACTGACTGTAGGTACTCGGTGTGCCGTTCTCAGGCGTGTGCACCGATCTTGGCCACAGCCTGACTGTAGAGACTGTGCCGTTCCCAGGCCTGTCGGCCGAACTGGAGTACAGTCTGGTGGAGGAGGACGACGACGATGCCCGGCTGCTGCTGGACCCGAGGACGGGCGTGCTGACTCTGGGACGGCCGCTGGACCGGGAACAGCAGGCCATGTTCAACATCAGCGTGCGAGCCACGGATGGCGGCACACCCCAGCTGTCCAGCACCGCCACAGTCATACTGTTGGTGCAGGGTACGTCTGCCTGTGCTGTGATCAGGGTTACATTCGCTGCACCGCAGCACCGCCACAGCCATACTTCTGGTACAGGGTGCGTCTGCCTGTGTTGTGAGCTGGGTTACATTCGCCGCGGGTGCAGGAAATGTCTTACAGTGTTGTGAGGTGCGACTATTTTCGCATCTTTGTTTTAGCTATTGTTCGATATCAGATGATGTATGTATGTTACTATTTTTAGGCTTTTCGTCAAGGCCGACACTTGTTTGGACTGTTCACAGACGTGAACGACAACGCGCCCGAGTTCACCAAAACGTTGTACCACGCGACAGCATTGGAAAACACCACTGTAGGGACAGAGGTTCTCAAACTTCTGGCCACCTCGAGGGACTCTGGTGTCAACGCCGAGATCAGCTACAGCATCATTGGCGGCAACGAACACAACATGTTCCAGATCAACCCGAAAACAGGTGCGTGCTTGTCAGCATTCTAGGTGCCTGTGTTGTACTTCAAGCGGGTATAGGAGTACATGACGACATCTGTGTGTGCGTTCCGACAGGTATTGTGTCACTGGTGTCCCAGCTGGACTTTGAGCGAGCCGGAGAGTACATGGTGACCCCTGTGTGTGTTCCGACAGGTATTGTGTCGGTGATGTCCGAGCTGGACTTTGAGCGAGCTGGGGAGTACATGGTGACCCCTGTGTGTGTTCCGACAGGTATTGTGTCGGTGAGGTCCCAGCTGGACTTTGAGCGTACCCGGGAGTACCTAGTGACCCCTGTGTGTGTTCCGACAGGTATTGTGTCGGTGAGGTCCCAGCTGGACTTTGAGCGAGCTGGGGAGTACTTGGTGACCCCTGTGTGCGTTCCGACAGGTATTGTGTCACTGATGTCCCAGCTGGACTCTGAGCAAGCTGGGGAGTACATGGTGACCTCTGTGTGTGTTCCGACAGGTATTGTGTCGGTGATGTCCGAGCTGGACTTTGAGCGAGCCGGAGAGTACATGGTGACCCCTGTGTGTGTTCCGACAGGTATTGTGTCGGTGAGGTCCCAGCTGGACTCTGAGCAAGCTGGGGAGTACATGGTGACCCCGGTGTGTGTTCCGACAGGTATTGTGTCGGTGAGGTCCCAGCTGGACTTTGAGCGTACCCGGGAGTACCTAGTGACCCCTGTGTGTGTTCCGACAGGTATTGTGTCGGTGATGTCCGAGCTGGACTTTGAGCGAGCCGGAGAGTACATGGTGACCCCTGTGTGTGTTCCGACAGGTATTGTGTCGGTGATGTCCGAGCTGGACTTTGAGCGAGCCGGAGAGTACCTAGTGACCCCTGTGTGTGTTCCGACAGGTATTGTGTCGGTGATGTCCCAGCTGGACTTTGAGCGAGCCGGGGAGTACATGGTGACCCCTGTGTGTGTTCCGACAGGTATTGTGTCGGTGATGTCCCAGCTGGACTTTGAGCGAGCCGGAGAGTACATGGTGACCGCTGTGTGTGTTCCGACAGGTATTGTGTCGGTGATGTCCCAGCTGGACTTTGAGCGAGCCGGAGAGTACATGGTGACCCCTGTGTGTGTTCCGACAGGTATTGTGTCGGTGATGTCCGAGCTGGACTTTGAGCGAGCCGGAGAGTACATGGTGACCCCTGTGTGTGTTCCGACAGGTATTGTGTCGGTGATGTCCGAGCTGGACTTTGAGCGAGCCGGAGAGTACATGGCGACCCCTGTGTGTGTTCCGACAGGTATTGTGTCGGTGATGTCCGAGCTGGACTTTGAGCGAGCCGGAGAGTACATGGCGACCCCTGTGTGTGTTCCGACAGGTATTGTGTCGGTGATGTCCCAGCTGGACTTTGAGCGAGCCGGAGAGTACATGGTGACCCCTGTGTGTGCTCCGACAGGTACTGTGTCGGTGATGTCCGAGCTGGACTTTGAGCGAGCCGGAGAGTACATGGTGACCCCTGTGTGTGTTCCGACAGGTATTGTGTCGGTGATGTCCGAGCTGGACTCTGAGCAAGCTGGGGAGTACATGGTGACCCCTGTGTGTGTTCCGACAGGTATTTTGTCGGTGATGTCCGAGCTGGACTTTGAGCGAGCTGGGAAGTACATGGTGATCCCTGTGTGTGTTCCGACAGGTATTTTGTCGGTGATGTCCGAGCTGGACTTTGAGCGAGCTGGGGAGTACATGGTGGCCCCGGTGTGTGTTCCGACAGGTATTGTGTCGGTGATGTCCGAGCTAGACTTTGAGCGAGCCGAGCCATGGTAACCCCTGTGTGTGTTCCGACAGGTATTGTGTCGGTGATGTCCCAGCTGGACTTTGAGCGTACCCGGGAGTACCTAGTGACCCCTGTGTGTGTTCCGACAGGTACTGTGTCGGTGATGTCCGAGCTGGACTCTGAGCAAGCTGGGGAGTACATGGTGACCTCTGTGTGTGTTCCGACAGGTATTGTGTCGGTGATGTCCCAGCTGGACTTTGAGCGAGCCGGAGAGTACATGGTGACCCCTGTGTGTGTTCCGACAGGTATTGTGTCGGTGATGTCCGAGCTGGACTTTGAGCGAGCCGGAGAGTACATTGTGACCTCTGTGTGTGTTCCGACAGGTATTGTGTCGGTGATGTCCGAGCTGGACTTTGAGCGAGCCGGGGAGTACATGGTGACCCCTGTGTGCGTTCCTACAGGTATTGTGTCGGTGATGTCCGAGCTGGACTTTGAGCGAGCCGGAGAGTACATGGTGACCCCTGTGTGTGTTCCGACAGGTATTGTGTCGGTGATGTCCGAGCTGGACTTTGAGCGAGCCGGAGAGTACATGGTGACCCCTGTGTGTGTTCCGACAGGTACTGTGTCGGTGATGTCCGAGCTAGACTCTGAGCAAACTGGGGAGTACATGGTGACCTCTGTGTGTGTTCCGACAGGTATTGTGTCGGTGATGTCCGAGCTGGACTTTGAGCGAGCCGGAGAGTACATAGTGACCCCTGTGTGTGTTCCGACAGGTATTGTGTCGGTGATGTCCGAGCTGGACTTTGAGCGAGCCGGGGAGTACATGGTGACCCCTGTGTGTGTCCCGACAGGTATTGTGTCGGTGATGTCCGAGCTGGACTTTGAGCGAGCCGGAGAGTACATGGTGACCCCTGTGTGTGTTCCGACAGGTATTGTGTCGGTAATGTCCGAGCTGGACTTTGAGCGAGCCGGAGAGTACATGGTGACCCCTGTGTGTGTTCCGACAGGTATTGTGTCGGTGATGTCCCAGCTGGACTTTGAGCGAGCCGGGGAGTACCTAGTGACCCCTGTGTGTGTTCCGACAGGTATTGTGTCGGTGATGTCCGAGCTGGACTTTGAGCGAGCCAGAGAGTACATGGTGACGGTGGAGGCCCGGGACGGCGGCATTCCGCCGCTCAGCAACCACGCCACCGTCAACGTCACCGTGCTCGACTGCAACGACAACGCGCCGGTGTTCGGGCAGGAGGTGTACAGCGCCGTTATCCGCGAGGACGTGGCCACAGGAGAGCGCCTCCTGCAGGTATGTGCACTGCTGGTGCCGCTGAAAATCTTGTGACGTCACAGAAATGTTTGCGGCCTGGAGCAGCTGGCTGTGAGGTGTATTAAGCATATGGGAGACGCTTATGTTTATTTGTGTGTTCTGTTGAACGTGTGTTGCTGGATCTTTTTCAGTTCTGCTGGTTAGACATTTGCATGTGACCACCACAGTGTAGACCTGTCCGGAGGTGTTGACGTGGTCTGCCGGTGCAGTATCGTGCCGCGTTACCGTATTCGTGCGCCCTGGCCGCTTGCCGGAGAAAATAGAGTAGCAGCCCCTCCAGACAACCGAGCCCGAAGTCACGTCATGAGCCATATTGTGAGCCTGCGCTTACCAGCCGAGAGCCCATACTGATATCTGCCCGACCTGCCCTGTTGGGACGGGTGGGGGAGCCGCGCTGGGAGAGCACTGTGCTGTGGCCGACACAGCGCAGCACGAGATGCGCCGGCTGTGACCTGACCGGCACGCCGCGTCGCCAGGTGCACGCGGCTGACCTGGACTCGGGCGCCAACGCTCGGGTGCGTTACTCGGTGACCGGCGGTGACCAGCACAGCCAGTTTGCCATGGACACCGACTCGGGCTACCTCTATGTCGCCACGCAGCTCGACAGGGAAATGGTGCGTAGGCTGGTGGTTTGGAGCCAAGGCAGTGAGGCCAATTTGAATTTTAATGTGTCTGAATTCGGCGGGGGCATTAATTGTGTTTGTCAGAATCACGAGACGTGTGTCTACCGTAATCGCAAATGTGCTGTTGCACATCGGCAATTTGCTTTGGCACTGAATCAGATGGTATGTGATGCAAAAACTGCAATGGCCAAGTCGATGACTGCGTCTGCAAAGATAAACCACGTCGCGCGGTGGTTTTGCTAGCTTAGAACGCGCCCTGAATGTGCTCATGGTAACACCTCACTGCCGGCTTACGCCTTATTGTTTGGGCCAGGTGTCCAGCTACAGTCTGGAGGTGACGGCGACGGATGGTGGCGATCCCTCGCTCAGCTCCTCCGCCCAGATCAACGTCCACGTCAGCGACGCCAACGACAACCCGCCAGTCTTCTCCGAGACCGAGTACAGCGCCGTCGTGCAGGTCGGCAACGCTTGGGTCACCCGCCGGCGCATGGCTGGGGAACGAACCAGAGTAGATTACCCCAAGTGGTTCAGGGTCAAAGCGAAAGACATTTGTGCGCAAACTGCTGTGATGTTCCCTGTTGTGCGTCTGGGGTCCCAGCAGCCGGTCATAGGCCCGGCGTGTGTGCCGCGACCGGTCGCGGCTGTGATCCGTCCTCTGTTGTTGACAGATAGTCGGAGCCGTCCGCCTTGCTCCTGTCATCAGTTGAAGCCACCTGGCTGGCTTGGGATGTCATTGGGTTACTTCAGGCTTAACTGCCGGCCACCAGCCACCATCGTTTTCTCAGTTGGTCTTTCCTACACTCTCCGCTGGAGATAAGCCGACCAGCCACGAGCTGCCATATTCCACCAGCTGACATCTTGTCTGAAGAGCTCCTCCCTTTCTCGCCGCAGGAGGACAAGCCTCCCGGCCACCCGCTGCTGCTGTTCTCTGTGACGGATGCTGATGAGGATCCGAACGCCGGTCCGTTCACGTTCGAGGTGGCCGAGGGCAACGGCGGCAACTGGTTTGTGATCACGGCCGGCGGCCAGCTGCGCACGGCCGCCAAGTTTGACCACCGGCTGCGCAACTCGTACAAGCTGCTGGTGCGCGTCTACGACAACGGTGATGACGTGCGCTTCTCCGAGACCTGGGTCGACGTCAAGGTCAGTCAAGGCAACATCAGGATGTTCTAATGCAGTGTTGGGGAGGATCTTTGTTTATGCACTGTTGGGCTTGAAGAATTACGTAGCAGATGTTCGTAACGCATTTGGCCATAGACGCACCATTTCTACAGCCATGTGCAACATCCTGAACCGTTCATGAGCTGGAATGCAAGGGGTTTAGCCATTTTCCGACAAATGGTTGGCTATTCGTGTCATGTACGGCACATTATCGAGGAGCTGGACAGTGGTTTGCCACTGGCCTCATAGGCAACGGAGGGCTGTGACAATCTGCTGACCGTTGACGTGCTGCGTTGCAGATAATCGAGGAGCCGCAGTACCCGCCGGTGCTGATCCCGCTGCACGTGTCGATCCAGTCGTACCAGGACAGCTTCCCGGGCGCCGTGGTGGGTCGCGTGCACGCCTCCGACCAGGACCCGTACGACCGGCTGCAGTTCGGCCTGGTGGCCGGCCAGGCCGGCCTCGAGCGCCTGTTCGAGCTGGACCCGGACGACGGCTCGCTGGTGACGCTGGCCGGCATTGACGCCGGATTGTACCGGCTGAACGTGTCCGTGACGGACGGCAAGTTCACCAGCCACACGGCCGTGACGGTGGATGTGAGCGAAATCACGGACCAGATGGCGCGTCACGCCGTCTCCGTGACGCTGGCCAGCCTCACGCCGCGAGCGTTCGTGCTGAGCTACATGAAGCCGTTCCGGCGCGCGCTGCGCAAGCAGCTGAAGGTGCGCGCTAAGGACGTGCTGATTCTGAGCGTGCAGCCGGCGGCGGCGGGCGGCCGGCGGCGCAGCCGGGCCGCCCGGCCGGCGGACCTGGCCGTGCTGCTGGCCGTGCGGCGCGGCCCGGCCTGGATGGAGGCGGCCGTGGTGCGGCGCCGGCTTCTGGCCGGCCGCGCCGCCGTCAGCCGCCTGCTGGCCGTGCCGCTGCTGGCCGTCGACGAGGACGGCTGCCAGGCGACGCCCTGCCTGCACGGCAACTGCAGCGACGTGGCCGTGTTCGACGACGAGCTGGTGGTGAGCGTGGCCACGGACGTGGTCAGCTTCGTCTCGCCGCAGCACAGCCGCCAGCTCAGCTGCCAGTGCCACGTCGGCTTCGGAGGTCAGTCGGCTTGCTCGCGGCAGCACTGGTGTGCTCGCATGGCCAGCTCTGCTTAGCCGGCTGTGAGCTCAGCAGACGTATTTCGCACACGTTAGTTTCCAATCGCCGTACCGCTAGTTGTAGTGCATTGTGGTGCTGAATTTTTGTGGGAAATGTCGAATGCTGTAGAATATGTGCAGCGGTGTTATGTGTACACGATTAAGACAATGAGCACTCGCCTCTAGTTCGGGGTCGATTAGCTCTCTTGCCTGCCATGATCTTACAGATGACCTGACATTCCTCTCTCTGTGACCTCGGAACCCAGCCGGTGGGCTGTGTTCTGACCTGTGCTCTGGTGGCGGCAGGCGAGCTGTGCTCGGAGCTGGTGAACGAGTGCGGCCGCTCGCCGTGCGCCGAGTACCAGACGTGCGTTCCGGACGCCTCGGCGGCGGGCTTCAGCTGCCGGTGTCCGGAGGGTCGCACGGGCCCCCGCTGTGGCCTGCTCGCCTCCGAGTGCCGCC